GAACCCTGAATTGACTGTATTTTTGGATGGCAGCAGCATGGTAATCGATGCGGTTTGATGGGCAGGAGCAGTGGTCATCACCATCAAACGAACTGGTCTGACGTTTTTCCTCCTGGGACATCAGCTAAATAAGCTAAGCTAATTGCTCTCGCTTGGGCCTTGGAGATAGGGAAAGACAAGCAGGTAAATATTTATAAGGACTCCGCTATGCCTTCGCCACTTTACATGTGCATGGTGCTATCTACCAGGAAAGAGGCCTCCTAACCACTGGAAGAAAAGACATTAAAAATTCCCAAGAGATACTGAACCTGTTACAGGCCATTTGGCTGGCTGCCAAGGTTTTCATGATCCATTGCCCAGGTCATCAAAAAGGGCAATTTGATGTTGGCACAGGGAAACTGAGCAGCTGATTTGGCAGCTAAGCAAGCCACCGTGTGGGAATCTTACCCCATAGCCTGAGCTTTAGTGGCTCCACTTCTCAAACCACCCAAGTATTCGGAAGCAGAACTAAAGTAGGCCAAAGCAGATGGGGCTATAGAACAAAATGGATGGCACATTTTGCCAGGAGGAACAGTGTTACTCCTTGAAGCAGTAGGACATTTTGTGATACAGGAACGACATAGCTGCACCCATTTAGGAAAAATGGCCATGGCCGAATTACTTGGCCATCACTTCTTCGTTTTCAGACTCTGGACTTTATGCGCCTCCATGGCCACCAGGTACAGTTTGTGCTCACAACAATTTCACCCACAGCAACAGCCTGGAGTTCAAAGATAGGAGACCCATTTGAGGACGTCACGGTGGACTTTATTGAAATCAAGCATACTAGTGGAAACAAAAAGTATTTGTTGGTTCTCATCTGCAGCTACTCAGACTGGGTAGAGGCCATCCCCACAAGGAGTAAGACATCTAGAGAGGTGGTAAAAACCCTGATGGAGTTGGTTATTCCCTGGTATGGGCTCCCTGGGTATGGGTTCAGATAATGAACCTGCTTTTGTGGATCAAGTGGTTCAGAGCCTTTCAGAAGCCCTGGGGTGAAAATGGAAGCTACACATGGCCTATGAACCACAAAGCTCTGGCCAAGTAGGAAGACAAAACCAATCTAAAGACCACCCTAGCCAAGCTCTGAAGAAACTGGTGAGCTGGGTGGTTTGCTTCCAATGGCCCTACTGAAATCTCGTTGCACCCTGTACTGGGGTCATGTTTGGGAGGCCTTCCCTGCTTCTGCCCATCTTGGAAGGACTACAGGAGGTGGTCAATTTGAAACTATGCCAACAGATGAAAGTTTTGCAACAGACTTTTAAAGGAGCTCGAGGGAGTTGTGTTGCAGTGACACCCCATCCTAATTCATTCTCCCATTCATTCCTTTGAACCGGGCGACAAAGTGTTAATTAAGACTTGGAAGGAGGAGCCCCCTTCAGCCAAGGTGGGAGGGGCCTCATAAGGCAATCCTAACCACTCCCACTTCTCTTAAAGTTACAGGTTGTGCTCCATGAATTCATCACTTCTGTGCTAAGAATGGGTTGAGACTGAATCACCACCACCCAATGAGCAGACTGTGCTGGAATGCAGACCTGCGACACCCACTCTCTGCAGGTCTCAGTGCTTACAAGAAAAAAAAGCTTAGGTGACCTCAGCATAGCTACCCACAACACCATCCTTTTGCTCTTTGTCACTGTACACATTGAACCAATCATGGCAGGACTGACCCACAGATTTATGGCAACCTGCACCAAAGGTGGAACCATTCTCACCAGGACAACTTGGCAGGGAACTGGGACTGATCTACTGGAACTACAGATCAATGTATGGGATCTCTGGCCAAGAGGCACCTTGACTTGTTAGTCATTCAGCCCCGGTATTTAGTTATGTCCTGATGACTCAAAAAACTCTACCAGGCTGCTCTTTGACTAACAATTTCAATTACCCCCCATGGGACTGTGAGACTGTGGGTATCTATGATGATGGGACTCCCTGAACAAATGCGGACCCATACATCTGAGTTACTTGGCACCTGGTCCCTCATCCCAAATGTCACAAGGGTCTCTGTAACCAAATAGGGCTTACAGTTCTACAGCCTGAACAGCCCACATGGTTTGCAGGATGTACTTGGGGTGTACAGCTCTTTGTCCCCTGGTAGAATCCAGGAATATTTCCTACCATCCATAAGTCACTTCAAATGACTCCCCATACCCCTCATAATTGACTGCTCCAAGATTTGCCACAGGGTAGCTCCCCAGTTCTGCACTCTTCCCCAGGTCCTCAGCCAGCCCCAGTGGCACCTCCCCCCATCCCATTGGGAATATATGATTTATTGGACAAAGTCCTACAGGTTTTAAATTATAGTAACCCAGTTTTGACCCAATATCATCAGCTGTGCCTCAGAAATAGACCACTCTTTTATGAGGGACTGGCCTCTCCTGAAAGACCCTTGTGAAGTGTAAGCCCATGTTCCAAATGGGAGACAAGTCGCATGTCATTAATACTTCTTGACAACTTGTGTGATAAGGGAACCTGTGTAGGGACTGCCCCAAGCCAAACAGTTCCTTGCAACTTTACCCACCAACCAGACCATGTGAACTCCTAACAAGTCTTGGTTCCTCTGTGATAAGGGACTGTTTCTGGTAAATGCTGTAATGCCTAGTTGACCATATGAGCCTCAGCCTGCCATAGTGTGATCAGACAAATTTGGTACACTGCCCTCCCAGAAAACACCAGCTGTTTTTAGAATCTAGAGCTACTGCTGTATAAACCGCTATTTTCCTATCCTGGGGATTGAAGCGTCTCACTTTGGGGGACTTCATCAGCCAGTAAGAAAGCTTGCTTGCACCCAATTGTCAGCTTCTGTGAGTGATTCTTGCTACTCACCATCACATGAGGATAGCTTGAATGAGTTTGGGACAAGAAAATGTAAGATAGTTACAGTCCTTAATTCACTATGCCTGTTTCCTCAGCTATAAGAAGTTAGTAATTGGACATTAGGATTTTAAGAGTTAAGAACATAACTCAAAGCAAACTAATAGAGGGATAGGTAAGGAAAAATAAACTGAGCAAACTAATTAGGTCATAGAGTTTTTACTAGGTCCTTCTCAGATTAAGTATGAAAGCCTAAGCCCAGTGCACAGATTTTTTTCTGCTAGGATTTTATGCGAAATTGAAGTATATGTTCTTTGGTATGACATACATTTTTCCAGTTACAAATTAAGGTATTTATTCAAAGTACCTAAAATCATCTCTGTTAGAAGAGTTCTGCAACCAAGGAGCATCAAAAATTACGTTCCACGTATTCAATAAACTGTTTCATGACTGTTGTAACCTTCACCTGCAAAAGTATTAAGCCTCTACTATGGATAAGGTCATGCAATAGATTTTGAAAAACTGATATCACTAAGATGGAATTTATAATGGTGTTATATTCTGGGGATTACTGTAAGCATTTCATCAGAGTTGAACATTATAAGCTCTATACAAGAAATGCATGGCTGTCATTATTCATTGACCCGGAGAAGTTCCTCACATGCTGATTCTGAGGAGCAGAGCAGTGGAGGATTGGAATCCACAGTGCTAATTTCAGAGGAATGCAGTGCTTGTTGAGACAGTACTCCAAAGGCCTCTTCAGACAGCTTCTCCCCCCTGAAGAGGCAAACTTTGAAATGCTTTCAGTGCATTTACTTGGCTTTGTTACAGAAGAAAGCTTGTAGCTAAAATTACAGTTTTCAGGGTTTATGAGATGCAATTGAAATTAATTTTTAAAAAGTTCTCAACAGATCTTATTTGAAGTCTTAATACGTCAATTACCTTTATATAAGAGGTGTAGTTATAGTTCCACCTTATAAGTAACGTGTGACCCACTTAATAACAGCTTGCTGAATAACCTAAAGCAGCTCATGTTTACATGGGAATGGTTCCTTTTGAAATCTGTTTAAGAATAAGTTGTATGTTCCAGAGTCAATGTGAGAAGGGGCAGGGTTCATGTGTCTTGGTCTTAGTCACAGTTACTGGAGGGAAGGTAGTGGTACACAGAGCTCTCTCACTTAATGTCCCTTGAGTCAGTCTTGAGAGGAATACTTCATGGAGGGGTGAAGGCAAATTCTAGGCAGTTCACACATACAGGTATCCAACACAGACACACACACACACACACACACACAGTAATAATTACAGTTGACCTTTCCAGACTACTTGTTAAGTTGCCAACCTTTGTTTCAAACCCTTTGCATATATTGACTTTGTTAATAGTCACAAGAATCCTTCAAGGGGCGGGTTCTGAGTTCTACACATGAAAGATCAAGGACACTAAAGAACAGAGGAGTTCATTTTAAAGAGAATAAAAAAAGATACAGAATTTCTAAACAAGATGATAGGAAATCAACAGTGGTTGTTACACTGCATATTGTTATCTTCAGAGTAGTTGCTCAGATTACCAGATACAGGCCTGGAAAACTGATTAAACGATATAAGCACGAACTGTTCCTTTCAGTGAACTAATAGAAATTAGTAGTACAATTAGCTATCTTGTGTGTGTGTATGTATGTATATATTTTTTCCTTTCCTTATTTTCTCTTGGTGGAAGAAACTGAAAGAGTAAGTAAGATCCAAAAGGTGTAACAGATACTGACAAAAGGAAAGAACAGAGGGGTGCAGACGTTGTTCAAAGCTGCACAGATCATGAGTTAGATTTGGGTTTCAAAACCAGGCAGTGTGACCACAGAGCTCTGATCTCAGCGTCTTTGCTGTGCTAAGTGCTCTGTGAAGCATCAGAGAAACGTGGTGAAAGACACAAGTGACTGTCATTTTTGTTTCCTAAATGGAACATGTTATACAAGATCGTTTTTATATGTGTAATTTGGTTTATGTATGTGTAGGTAAATTAAGACCATCACTTTAATTATTTTTATCTTCTGTCTACATGATAAAAACATATACTTAGGCCATTAACAGGATTTAAAGTGATTATTATAAATACTAATTGTGATTTTTTTTGTTTTCTTTCTCCTCAGTTTCATGGTTTTCTCCAAATGAAAATATTCTCATTGTTATTTTCCCAATTTTGGCTATACTGCTGTTCTGGGGACAATTTGGTATTTTAAGTAAGTATTTATTTCTGTATTTTATGTATGGTTTAGTGACGAATTGGTGCTTCTAGGAGGCAGTCCTACTGAAATATTTCGTTGAACTAAGTTGTGTTAGGAAGTATTGTTGTGATTAATAAGATAGTTTGAATATTAATGGTCTCCTTGAAATACATATTGTCATATTTTTCTACATTCATTTTAATTTCTACAAAGCTCCTTTTTTTGGATTGTTTTTGGCTTTTAATCTCTCTCGAATGACTAGTAGGACTACTAATAAGAGCTTCAACCCGTACAGCGTTTACAGACTTAGGGAACATTTATGCACATACCATTTCATTTGGTAAACAGATGGTCATGGGCTGCATTGTTAAGAAGGAACATTGTACTCTGGAGCATTAGGATTTGCTGTCTTCCTTCTCCCGGCGTGGCCCCTGTAGACATACGTTCCCCCTTGAAGAAGTCCCATTTGCACTGTGTTTTACTATCCTCTGTGTGCAGTTCCGCAGCCCCTAAAGGAAGCAGCTATGGAAGAGCTGTGTTCTTTGATCTTGCTTTACTGTGATAATCATGTAACCAGACCTCTGGGGGGCAAGTCTTGATGCGGTATCAGACTTATCATCAGTAGTTCAGAATTGTCACTACAAGATAAATAGGTCAGGTGTGTTGTGGTTAATGTTTATATTCAACCACATTTACATACCAGTCTGGTGAAGGAAATTTACTAAATCAGTGAAGTTGAGTTGTTTCAGCCTAAATTTTTAATGTGTTAAGATTTATTCCTGCTCTTCCTATACCACCTTGACACAGGCATTGAAGACCAGCAAGTATCTGGACAAACAAGAAGTATATAATGCTGATTTAATGAAGTCTGCAAAAATAAAAATTAGAAATTAGTGAAATATTGTAGTAGATCAGCCTCAATTTTTCTTTTCCTCTGAGTTTAAGCTGTGTGTATCCTCAGTGATGCATAAAAATGGGAGAAAGTATGGATTATATATTTTGAGAGCTTTTCCTAATGTATAGTACTCTGGAAATGCTTAGCGAACTTACGTTTAAAAGGAAAATGAGGGGAACAAAGGGCTGGCTGCCAGTGGCAATTGTCAAGACATTTCAGAGGTCTTACCTTCAAGACAGTGTCTAGACTTCTTTTGGAAATTGCCTTAGAATTTCAGTAAGCCTTTTATTTCAAGAGGAGTGTTACAGCTTAAAGACCTACCCTGCCATCACTCCGATGTTGGGGAAAACTTTGGCCATATCGACAGACCCAAATTTTAAGAGCTAAGTCATGTGATTTGACCAGGGAATGGTCTTTTACTAAGCTTATAAAATTATTTCACATTCATGTGATTTGTTGAATTTTGATTAATAAAAGTTGGCTGATTGTGCCATTGTCGTTAATGAAATTATTTTTAGAGGAACGGAGCAGTAGTGAATGTGATCCCTGTCAGCTGTATTTTTATGAAAAAAATGTTACTACCTTTTATAAATTACAATTTAATACATTTTTCTGTCTGCATCCTTGGGGGACTGGGTTTGAGACCTCCACAAATAGCAAAGGAGTCCATGGCTGCTGGATTCCTTCATATAAAATGCACAGTATTTACATATAACCTATGTTTATATTTCTGTGTACTTTATATCAGTTGTAGATTATTTGTAGTAACTTAAGTAGGTAAGTAGTTGTATCCTCTTGTTCCTGGGATAATGATAAGGAAAAAGTCTGTAAATATTCAGTTCATAAATTTTAATTTTAACATTTTCAATTCACAGTGGATTGAATCTGTAGTTACGGAGCCCATGGATACAGAAGGCTGGCTGTACATAACAATTATTTTATACTAGATATTGAACAGTTCTTTTATTTTAGATTTTGAGACAGAGGCTCATAAATATATAGCCCAGACTGGGCTCACACCTGTGATTTTCCTGCCTCAGCCTCCTAGAGTACTGAGATTACAGGCAGACAGCACCATGCCCAGCTCATAACACTTTGGAACACCTTAGGTAATACAGGAAGTTACATAGAAAAAAATATCCTGCAGTTTCAAAACTTAGACATAAACTATTGATGTATTCCAGTGAATTTTCTGCTTCCCGTTCTGACTACCTCTCCATCCTTTCCCTCCTGCCCCGCCCCACTCTGTATGTGTGTCTGTCTCTCTTTATCTTCATTAAAAATTAAATCATAGCTGTACACATTCAGCGTATATAATTGTATGTCTTGATTTTCCCCGTGTCTTCAAAAATCTTGTTATGGCTACCTGTGCTCTGCTCTCATAGATATGTACAATTTACTTAACTTCCATCTTGTTTGATATTAAGGATGTTTCCAAATGTATTGATAATATGAAACTAACTCTGTTAAAGACGTTTCATCCTAAAGATGCAGAGAGGGGCTGGGGATTTAGCTTAGCGGCACAGCACCTGCCTGGCAAGCGCAAGGTCGTGAGTTCGTTTCCCAGTACGGGGGCGGAGGGGGGGGGACAAAGATGCAGATATCTTAAGGCTCTAGATACCCATTTCTAAAAAGTGTTCCAGAGCCTTTGTATCACGTACCGCTACTGCAGAGGAAAATACCTGTCTTCCACCTCACACCTCTGACATTATTATTCTAAAATCTTTGCCAGTTTGATGGGTGAAAACATGTTTCATTTTCATTTCTGTGTTATTGAGGGTAAATGTAAAATCTTCTTGGATTTTTTGGCTAGTTTTTTTTAAAGGCATGAACCTAAAGAAATATTTTAATGTAAATTTTTTACTGTGGCTCATTTTAAAAAAGGAAGTGGTGTGTGTGTGTATGTGTGCGCACATGCGTGTGTGTGTGTGTACGCGTGCGTCTATGGAAAAGGAACCTCTGTTTATGATTCAACCAGCCTTGCCCCCCATTTAAAGGTGTTGATAATGGTAGCTAAATATTTGTGGAGCTCTTGTTCTGCGGGACAGGCACTGTGTAGAATACTCTATGCCTTTATGTCTTTTAGGAATTCTGAATGCAGGCAGTGTTTTCCATTTTGTAAATAAGAGACTTAGACAACGAGACCATGATGACCAGCTGTTTTCTGATAGTACTGGAATTTGAACAGTTATGTTTATCACTACACTGTCCTACTCCGATCCTGAATTTATTTCAAGAATTTTCTTTCCACGAAGGGTGAACCAGTATGTAGTTTACGACCTTGAGTAGATGTCACTGTAGTTCTAAAGCAGGTTTGCCTGGTTTGTTGATTCCTTCTGCCAATACCCATTGACAGTAGAGAGCCAGCTGCGTGCAGGGCACTGGGCCACATGCTTGAGGTGTGGCACTGCATCTGCATCCTGCCTCTGGCTTCGGAACCCTCACCTGTCAGTCCCTTGAGGTGTGCATATGGCTGCTGTCCTGTTCCTGATGAGTCGGACTCCACCCCATCCTCCCACCCCACCCCACCCCCCGTACCGGGAATCGAACTCACGACCTCGCGCTTGCCAGGCAGGCGCTGTGCCGCTGAGCTAAATCCCCAGCCCTCTAACTCTTCTTTGGATACTTGGTTATGACCTGGGCCTCCTACTTTCCTCGTCTGTGTGGATACGTTCACCCTCGCTGGTTCCTCTGGCTGCATCCCAAGCAGCTCCTGTGCGGCCACGTGTCAGGTCGACACAGACAGCTGCTTTTTCTGCCAGTCCGCTATGACCTCTTCACATTTCACTTCTGTGTTCGCACTTTTCACTTCTTTGCTCTCTCCGCTTCCTGGCCCACTTTCCTCTTTTGATCATCCATTTTAATATGACGTGTGGTTTTGTCACAGAGATGAGGAGTACCGTAACTACTTGCTTATGTGTGTATGCTAATTGAATAACGGGTACAGTGACCAATCACCAGTGGACTTCAAAAGAGAAGACATGACTGGTCACTAATTGTGATGCTCATCTGCTATTTGTGTAGTGATTTGTGGCCTGAAGAGAGAGCAGTGAAGTGTGTACTGTATGTACTCAGTTCATCTATTGGCGTAACTAAAATTTAAACTATTATTTTGGAGTTCTTGGGTAAGGACTGCTATATTTTATTTCAGATTAGGTATTCTGAGCATCTTTCATTTCCTTTTCTTTCTTGTCTCAAGATTATTTCGGAAGGATTTGGGTCACTGCTCATAGGAATTTGGGTAGGTGTTCTGTGGAAATCATTATTGGCAAATTGAAGGAAAAAATTATCTGTCACAACAGCTTTCGATTTCAACTTAGTCCTCAAGTGTAGCTTAGTAATAAAGTAATTAAGCCATGAAAAGACTAACATTTAAAAGAAGAAATGGAGCAGAGAATTTCTTCATTGATTAGCAAAAATCATTCCCAAGAAGTGAGGACATATACTAAGTTGCGCTGGAAATTTCTAGCCTAGAAGGTAAATGTATCTTTCCAAAAATGTTACAATCATTCTGTGACTTGGCCGTAGGGCCTTAATAACAGGACTTTGTGAGCAGTATAATGTGAATTCTGTTTAATCATCTTGAACTTCCAGTGCTTCCCCTGGTCTTGTCCAATAGTGACCACCTTCTATTAGTAAATCATATGGTTTGCCCTGATTTCACTGTAGGAAGAACTGACCAGAACTCTAGATCAGCATTTCAGTCTTTTATGGAAATATAGTTATTGCTCCTTTGACCCTTTCTAAGTCCAGACACCCCAACTTTCTGCACATACTCTAGAGCTGTGGGAGCATAGTTGTTTAGAACCGGGCCTCGGAAATCAGTCCACAGGACATCCTCTGTATTTACATTCAGAATGCTTGCCACACAAGCCTGAGCTCTTCCGTGGCTAGGTCCTCTACACAGGGACTGTGCTGTTCAGTTTGTGTTAATTTTGATAACAGTGTCTCATGAGAGTAAGTTGTAGCACATGGAGTTTTACAAATCCTACCTTTATGTGTGTATGTGTATGTATTCCAAATGAGTGTGTTAAATATTTTAGAATAGTAACTTAAATAAGTTTTAAAAATCAAATTTAAAATTTGAATTTTAAGAATCATGAGATGTATCTTATCTTGCATTGAAGACATGTTTGGTTTGTGGCTCAACAGACTACCAAAAGATTTCTAAATAACTTTCTTGAGGTTATCAGAAAACATACTATAATAAATTAAATCAATTATTTGTCTTCATGTGTGTCTTATTCTTAATGTGATACACATTTCCTCTCACTGGTAAGCGTCTTACCCTTGTCACTGATCACTTGACCAGGGACTGTAAATGCCATGTCTTTGAGCAGGTGTTGAAATTTGGATTTTGTTAGGCAGACTGTGTGAGCTGAGATGGATGTATAAAATCCAGTCGTGAAAATCTAACGTGATAGATTTTATATTACCCCCCATAGACTTGATATTTGACTAGGTTTTATCAGCCACAACATGCAGTCTGTCATCTTACATGCACTCTCTATCAGTCACAAAGAGAACGGAAAATCGTGTCCATAACATTAGCACTTTCTTTCTTCAGGTGGGCTAACGGGGCATATCCTTGTTTCATTCACATAGATTTGAAAGATTTAATACATGAAAGACCTTTCTTAGACTAGCAGAGAACTGTACCTTTTATTTAACTGGGAAAGATCTGGGAGTATCACCTCGCCCACCCCTGACCCTAGCACACACATTCATTCATGCAGATGTAAAGGTCTTGACAGGCTTTGTGTTTGCCTTTCTCTACTTTGTTAGCGCTTAGTGGTTGTCACATGGGTTCATAGTAAATCGTTATTGAATAAAGAATCTACTTGTCTCTTGATTTAGACTGAAGGGCCTGATACATTTTAGATACCCAGTACATATTTATAGAACAAAGAAATGAACTAACCTAACACCTTTTGCTGAGACATAGCCTGCTAGATTTATTTTATATTCTCTGAACTTAAACAGGATATATGTATTCTGAATTAAAAGAGGCAACATTTTAGAATTCCTCATTTTTTAATTAAAAATGTTATATCATCTCTCCTGATGTTCCTTATTCTTGATCAGGCAACCACTGAGGTTATTAAACATTTTATGAAAAATGTAAATACTATTATTTTCATGTATTTTACTTCGAATATTGATTACAGTAGTTTTGGCTGAGAGGAATCTTTAAGAATATGCAAATTTTTAAAATTACAAAGACATCTTATCAGTCAGAACAGTCATACCAGGAAGTTTGATAAGAGCACACTGTTAGACATACCTGAAGTTAGTACGTGGATTTGTTTTCTTCGTTACATGCAATGATTTGCTAAATAAGAATAAATCCACTTAAAGCACAAGAAAAAATCACTGGTAAAAGGCTCTTGAGATTATTGGGTTCCTTGACATTGCATTGTAGGTGAGAAAATGGACACCTGGCCTAGCAACAAGATATGCCCCACATGACCTGCTACATGATGGCCACTGTGAGCAATGGAAATGCGGAAATCAGACCGTTATAAAGGTTGTGTGAAGAAAACATGGGGATGTGTTTTCATTGCCTGTCATTACTTAGGCAGACTTCACGAATATATTTGTTAGAAATGGCTGCTTCATGTAAGGAAAAGTTCAAGGTAGCCTTGAAAATAAGTAGTTCTTGAAACAACGAACAGGAACCAAAGCTACTGCAGTATACATCGTGCTTATTCTCAGCGGGCAAAGGCCATGCTCTGGTAACACGCTGCCATAGTGGGATTTTGTGGGGTTTTATTGGTGCTGTGGTTGACATTTTCTCCTCTACTAGTTCTTCTGAACCTAAAGAATTTGAATTTATATGAGATTCTAACTTCTATTTTTAAGAATGACATGAGTCAGTCTTTTTCCGTAAAATTATACTATACTCAAAATCCTCGTTGCTTGATCTTATCATCTCTTCTGTGTATCAAATTAAATCTGGAAGAGTCTCTTATGAATGTTGGATTGTGCGGTTTACTTAAAACTGCGTTACTTGCAGTACTTTGGAGCTCTATTTAGTAAACAATATACAGCCCAAGGGGTTAAAAAGATGTAAGTCTGTTTCTGCATCTTTTCCTATTATGCACATGACCTGTGCACTGAATTTCATTCTAGGTGGGATTTAAGCCTAGAAAACAGTGGAGCTGTAAAAATTCTATGCCTCCTAGGGAGGTAGGATATAAGTGAAAAGTAGTCAGGCAAGTTCCAGGGCTGGATTCAGGTAACAAATCAGTAAAACTTCACAGCAATACATTCTGATGACTGGATTTCTCTTCTCTGGTCCATGGGAATTTCTGCTACTCAACTTGACACATAATTGTTGCTTAGGCTTCTGTCTTCCCTTCCAGTGACAAGAGTTGAGGTTATTGCCTCCACATGAATAGGTAGAGATTAAAACAGTCGTCAGGTGCCAGCAGTATACCTTTATTTTTCACGGTCATGTAGGTCATTGATGACTTGTTGATTTTATTATAGTTCTTTTTGTCCGTCATCATACTGGAGGAAAATTAAATGCAAACTATAATACTTAAAATATTTTCCCCTTCACTACGGCTGCCCAGTGATTACTTCCATGGAGACTGTCCGCATGTGGATGCTACACAGCAGAATTGCAGTCACTCACACTGTGTATCTGCCACCCAGTTAGGTTTTAGGTTACCTGTAATAATCTCCTAGTGAAACATTAATTTTATTCAAACAAAATGTCAGTAGATTATAAAGGAAAAATTTGGGGGCTTATTCATGGAAATAGACTCTCAGTGAGGGTATAAGGTACTTGACAATAAATTTAAAATCATATACAATAACAAGTATGATGAATCTTTTTGAGTTTTTGCAGGTTATTTCTATTTAAGTATGTTACTTGAAAATTTTAAGCAGTTTTCTCCATAAGGATTTCACAAGGGTGTGAGTTGTTCAATATTTATTCTATTCTCTTTCTAAACAATATACCCCGATTTCCAGAATTTTAGTCTCATGTGGGGTGGAACTTCATTCTCTTTTTTTGTTCAATTTTGGTAATTAATCAGTTATTTCCCATCAGTATTAATGTGTATCAGTGTTACATTGTCTGATGTGTATCCCTGTTACAGTCTTTGCCCATGTGGGGACGTTGGCAGTGCCTAAAGACACTTTGATTGACATAACTGTAGGGACGTTACTGGTGTCTCATAATGCAGAGTCCAGGGATCCTGCTTAACATTCTGCAATGCACAGAGCTGCCTCACACAAAAACTTACATTGCCCAACAAGTTAAAAGTGCTTCAGCTGAGAAAGCTTGATGTATGTACTGGTATCTTCATACTTAAAAGCATGGTGGGGGGCAAAGTGTCTCCTGCATACTCAGCGCCTAATTTATACTGACATAAGCTTATTTATCCATTGGCTTATCAGGTGACTTGATAATAGGAAGTTGTCATTCCTCAGAGGTTACTCAGTTATACTGAGTTGTGGGTTCACAATTTGTTTCATGTATTCTTCGTTTTTTTTTTTTTTTTTTTAAGCACTTAAATATAAATCCAATTGTACAAGTATGAAAATCGTTCTTTTACTTATCGCTGGACTGCTGCTCACGATCATTGTCATCGTTGGAGCCATTCTTTTCATCCCAGGTAAGGTGTACCATTACTGTGGGGGAACGCAGGCTTGGTGTAAAGAGGGCATTGGGTGTTGGGCAGGGGTGGGAGTGGTTTCCGTGGCAGGCCCATTGAGCAGATTATGGCAGAGTGGTGTCATACAACAGAATTCTCTCTCTGCTCTGGAGGCCGTAAGTCTGAAATCAGGGTATCAACAGAGCCTCACTGCATCTCGTGGCCCTAGGGGAGAACCCATTCCTTTTGCTTCTGGCTTCTGGTATTGGCCAGCAACCCTTGACAGTCCTTAGCTTGTGGCAGCACTGCTCCAACCTCTGCCTCCATGGTCACACTGCTGCATCCTCACCCCTCTGTCTTCTCCTTGCTGTCTGTGTCAAGTCTCCCTCTGACTCTTCTGCACAAGAACACTTGTCCCTGGAGTGATGGCCCAGCCCCGTAATCTAGGATAAACTCCCCCTTCGAGGTATTCAATGTAACTCACTCTTTTGCCATGTAAGGCAGTGTTTCTAAGTTCTAAGGAATGGTGGTTGGAGATACCATTCGGGCCACCATTATGCCGCAGTGGAGCAAACTTCATCGGCCAAGATGTGGAAGTAGCGCTTACATCTGGGGGAGGGAAGTGGAGGTGGGAGGTAAGGCCGGGAGCACATGGAGAAGAAAAGCAGACAGGCTGGGACTCAGCGTAGGGGGCCGGAGGACACCACGGTGGTTTCTTTAGGGCACTGCAGTGTAGCTGTGATGTTCAGGAACGTGAACTTTGTAGGTGTGTTTGTATCTGGAGTTAGGAAGTGCGTGGGGAGGGGAGCAATGCAGAAGACACTGGAAGGAGCAGTTGATTTGGTTTGGGACACACTGAATTTAGTACCTGAAGGGAATCTTGTAAATGCGCCTGCAGAGTTGCTCCTCTGGGACTCTGCGAGCGAACTGAGGAGGAGGTTATGCCCACATACATGTTGAGATTTATATTCTTAAATGTGGTCTTAATGCATGAGTTTGGGGGAAATATTTTTAAGCCTTTCACAGTTTATGAGTGCTGCTGAGATTAAAATAATAAATTGAATATATTCTTCAAAAATAGGAAGTACATAGGAAAATATTTTAAATATTCTTATTTATTTACAGGAGAATATTCAATAAAGAATTCTTTTGGACTTGGTTTCATTGTAATTTCAACAGGAATATTAATACTACTTCAGTACAATGTGTTTACGACAGGTAGGTATTCTTTCAGCATAATTTTGCTAACCTCTTTCATTAAAAAACTGCACTTTTGGTTAAAACACCCTTGTATTTTTAATAACTTAATAAAAGTTGGTTTATTAAAAGATTTTCCATTATATTCTTAGTGGCATACAGAACTTTTAAGGTTACCCTAGATCTTCAGGGTAGCTAGTTATTTTGTGAAGGTTGATTATAATACTTGATATGAAAATACTTTTGTTATCAGTTAACATCATTATAAATTATGCTGTGTAATTTTTAATGATTAACTGCATATTCTAATTTCAGCTTTCTTATTTGTAAGTTAATATTAGACACTTTTTCTTTTGTTAAGCCTCTGCATTGAAAAGTGGTCCTGCGGAATGGCACTATAAAGCACCAACAGCGAAACACTTATTTTAGTTATTGGCAGACCTTGACACTGTAGTTTTAAAGATAATATGACTAGCCTAACTGTAATCAGTATCATTTTCTCCACACTGTAGCAGCGAATCCCTAACATATATCTGTTGTTATTACCGAAGAGTCACAGTGGACTCTAGATCTTAGACTCTCTCTCTGGCTTGTTGTACATTGGAAAGGTATTAATTCATTATAAAATCATAAATGTACAGATGTACAACGCAGTGGTCATGATGTTTATAGTCACATTTGCATTATAGCTTTCTCCACCAGAGCAATTTTGTGTGCATGTAGAGAAGCCATGCGTAGTAGCCATTCATACTGTAAAATGCACAAATATGGTCGAAGCAGCACTGTCCTGAGATTGGGGTAAAAACTGCCATTCTCTTTAAATTACTGGTAATAAAAGTCGGCTAATTCTGTGGGTCTGGAGCTGACGTGTGTAGAAGATTCAGATGACTGGAGAAGCGTCTGCCCTCTCCTCGGAGAAGGAGCCATGAGGGTCAATCTTTGGTCTGAAGACCTCACTCTTGATTGCACCGAGCGAGTGTAAGCCGTAGCAGATGGTCCTCTCAATGCACTTCTGTTCTACCCTTTCCTCCCCCAGCTTTTGGGATGACCTCGTTCACCGTTGCCATACTGATCATGCAGGTGCTGGGCTACGTGCTCGCTGTGGTTGGACTTTGTCTGTGTGTCACAGGTAAAAGTCACATCCTTCTGCGCTCTCGGTTTGAATTTCTTGAAGAAACAATGCTTTCTTTTTCTTCCCTTTTTGTTTTAATAGATAGCCCTTTTAAAAGTGCGGTTTTAGGTCACCGCAAAATTGAGAGGCAGCTGCACAGAATTGCCATATACTCTCACCCCTTTCACATACCCAGCATGGCCTCAGCTTCCCTCCATATCCCATACCAGACTGCGCTTGTTACAACCAGTGAGCCAGCCTTGACAGGTTACTAAATTGCTCCAAGTCCGTCGCTTCCATTTCTGCAGTCCTGGTGTGCGCACCGCGTGGCGATGCCAGGTGTGGAATGGTGTGTAGCCCTCACTGCGGTGTTGCACTGAACACTTACACTGCCCTAAAGAGCCTCTGTGCTGCACTGTGCATTCCCTCCTCCCACGAGTCCCCTGGCAGCATTCACTTTTCACTAACTCCACGGTTTTGTACTTGGTAGGATGTTTTAGAGTTGAAATCACTCTGTATACCATCTTTTTCATGTGGGCTTCTTTGGCTTAGAAATGGGAATCTAAGTTTCCTCCAGTCTCCTTGTAGCTTGGCATTTTATTACTTTCTAGTGCTGAATAACACCCTCTTGCGTAGCTACACCATAGTTGTGCGTGCCTTCACCTGTCGAGGGACAGTGTGGCTGCTTTCAGTTTCTTGCGATTATGAATAAAGCCGCTGCTAACATCCTGGTGACTCCTGTTCTGGCGTAGATACAAAGTGTCTGCTCCATGTGGATAAATACCAAGGAGTGTGGTATCTGGATTGTATGTTAAGGGATGGTTAGTTTCATAATCAACTGCAAAACCCACTGGTTCCATTGCTAAATTACCGCCACCAATAAAGGAAACGTCCTGTTTCTCCACATACTTGCCATCGTTTGGTGGTGTAAGCTTTTCTTTTTGTTTTAATTCTCATTTTTCTCACAGCGAGGACGGTCTTTCGCACATTGCTACAAGAATGTCGGTTGTATGTGGTCTGTGTACTATTTGGCAGCCAAACTATTGTGCTGTAGTTTTGGAAGAACTTTTGAAATAACCGGCACCAGGGAGTTGGAGCCTTAGACTTTATGCACTTTTCCATTAGCTTTGATACAGTAAGGGGTGTGTAATGGAGAGATGGACTTTTTTCTTACAATAATTTGGAGTTATGTCATTGCCAGAGATAATTTTTATTACCCATATGTACATAATTTTTGTTTGTTGATTATTAAAACGAAAATTACTCTCGTTAAAGCATTATTAGTTGCTGTCAATTCCTTTTGAAATTTTAGTCATTTTATAGGCGTTGCTAATACACGGTTTCGTTTGTTTTTACAGCATGCGTACCAGTGCATGGCCCTCTTCTGATTTCAGGTTTGGGTATCATAGCTCTAGCAGAATTACTTGGACTAGTTTATATGAAATTTGTGGGTAAGTCAATCTTATTTTTGTAAGCCTGTGCCAGGAATTTTAGACATACAACAGAAAATGTTTTTAAGCCAAAGAAATGTGTTGATAACTGAAAAAGTGAGAAAACTTCAATTGGAACGAGGATCATTGACATGTTCCCACCTGCTTCCCCCGTGCTGCCCGACCGACAGGCATGTGCGTACCACTGCTGGTTCACAGCTGCCCGGCAGAGAGCTACAGGACTTAGGGTCCCCTTGCAAATGTGTTAAACAGGGTTTCTTTGTGTATGAGGTAGAGGAATTACTGAAAAGTTTAGATTATAAATCACTTTAAATGAAAGTGATTTTATGTTTTAGAGTATGTTTAGAGTAGACTTTCTGTACCAAGTAAAGGGAAAGATTTTGAAGGATCCATTTGAATTGATAGATTCTTAATGGCTCCATTATTGCTGTGATAAAGCCCTTTGATGTAGACCTGTTTGTCACTTGAAGTTCTTGTACACATGGACAGTCCTAAGACGATAGAAATTGACAATCAAATGCTGTCACTTACGCTCATTTAAAGAGCAGTGGCTTCTAGTCATAACTTTAACGCATTTGTGTTTAGATTTAGCATTTTATTACTTTTAAAGTCAGTTCTTAGTAAGTATGGAATTAGCTTTTTTGTTTTAACCTTGTTATTTAATTTGCCAGTTTTCAAATAGCAAGTTCTACATAAATCCTTATTTTGACTATATAGAAATAGATGCTTTTAATAGTGCCCAACAGCGCCCCATGATAAAGAATAATTTTTGCTATCTAACAAAATAAGTTATAAATTAATGGAATAAAGAAATCAGTGCTTCACTTTGGTTTGCGTGAACATTTTGTTTCTAAAAATTAATACAAAACATGAATTGTCATGGTCGAGAAATTTACTGTGACTTGTATGCTATTGCAAGGAGACTTTTTTCTGAACTTTATCTTGTAGTGACAGATAGAGCTTGGCTCTGTTATATTTTCTCCATTCTCCTTTAATTAATGCTTCTTAGATATGTAATTGAAATAGCCAAAATCAACCTATCTTTAATTTATGTATTTATAATCTTCAGTTGTTTCTCAGTGAAATTTCCTAATTTATTCCACATAAGTCCATAAAACACAATTAAGATATCTCAAGTAGACTGGCATTCATGCGGTGGCTGCAGTGAGCGTCTTGAATGTTTATGCATATTCGAGATTTATTCCACTTTCCAGTCACCAAGGGTTTGGCTTTTAAAGATGACACTGCTGATTTTGTTGTTGCCCATGTGTTCCTAAGAACAGCGTGTGACCTGCGTATTCACATAGCCCGGGTGAAGTGATAGTAGGTGTCTTCGATAGTGAGTTCCGTATTTTATTTCTCACTATCCGGATTACTTGCCCTTGCATTCCACATCTGACAAAGAATGGTGTTCAGTACAGTGGCTGCAGGTCTGGAACGCAGTCTCAAGTGGGAAGAGGTCCTGCCTAGCTGCCGCCCCCCCCCCTTGGTCTTCCTCCGAGAGGCCATGCAAATGCAAAGGTCACTGTAAAAAGAGCACAGTGAAAGTGAAATCCTTAGGAGTTCCTCAAATTATTTTCCTTTATCATAGTTTTGTATATAAGTATACTCTATTTACATTAAGACTTTGATTCAGTTTGATTAACATTATGAAAATACCCTAAATTAACTTTTCACATCAACTTGTCCAATGCTAGAGTGCAGAAAGATACCTTCGGTCAGTTGAAAGGCAAGAAGAGAAAAGGTACAGGAAAGTTGCTCTTCAGCTAATGTGGTAGACTAGGAAAATTCATGTGTTTTGCTTCTATGATCTGACTTTGTAAATCTGAATATGTGTAACATGAAGGTTGCAAATTTGAGCATCTCTATTAGGAAGTAAAAGTTGTAAATGTTTCAGAAACAATTTTTACTCATTGCAGATGTAGTGTTTTAGAAATGAATGTATTGATTGAAATGCAATGAAATCCTCAGGTAGTTTTTTTAAAAAACCCAGACTCTCTCTTTAAGCATGAATTAATGTCTCTATGAGAATTTTAACTTCTATATCTTTATTATTTGTAAGTTTAAATTTGTAACCTTAATGTTAAGAGTGAGATTTTGACTTCCACTTTCTTTTGTAATTGTACTGGATTTAAATATTTTAAAAGTGCATTTTAATTTTGTAAAGTGAGACAGGGACTGGAAAAATAATACTGCAAATAGGATGTGAAAGGTAGATCCAGATATCTGTGCACACACATACATACACTGTTAGGACCAGGAGGGCAGTGCTGTGCTGGTCTCAGTCTGCTCTTCAGCAAATCCAGTGCGGTTGCCTAGGCCAGGTTACAGTGGAATCCTAGAAATCGTAACATACATTCTTTTCCTATTACTGAATTCAACTTGCATGACTTGCAAATGATTCTGTTTTGCTTCCATCTCTTGTTTAGGTATATTATTTTTTCTGTTGTTGCTCTTTATATTTTTGTACTTTTTGGTACTTTTTTTTTTTTTGAGAAGTGAGGATTTCTTGAACCAAGAGAAGCAGATGAGATGGAGTGGAAAATTCTGTATAGGAAAAGAATATTAGAATAATACAGTAGAATAACCCTTTCACTAAGTGATTCAAAGAATGTTGCTGGTGGGTGTTTTCATGTCTGTAGGACTCTGATTGTGTATTGAGAACTAGCATTAGCTGCTCTGGGGCCTCCTCCCTTGCTTTTTTTTAGCAAGGTTACCTCTTCCTTGTATTGCTGTGTATTTCTTCATTAACTAACTCGTTCAGAAACAGCGTAAAGGGAAACTCAGAATACTAAGAAGGTAATAGGTAGAAGGGGCTGGGGACTTAGCTCAGCGGCAAAAGCACCTGCCTGGCAAGTGCAAGGTCGTGAGTTCGGTTCCCGGTACCGGAGAAAAACCAAAAAAAAGAAGGTAATAGGTAGAAGAGGGCTTGATTGGCTGGAACTAACTGCCTAGAATAACTTTCTAAAACCAGAGGAATCTGGTGTTTTGTTTTATTTTGTTTCCTTTCTTTTTGTTCAGTGGTTATCTAGAGCTTTAAAAACTAGAAGGGTGGAGGCTGGGATACAAGAAAAGCAAGCAGTGAGTTAGGATGGTGGAGCGGGTGGGAGGTCATTGCCATGTTTGTCCATTTCCGGGCTGGTAGGATGGGAAGAGATAGAGAGCTCGTGGAGGGGGTGGTAGGGTGGCATGCCCAAATGGGAGACTGTGTGTGTTTATCAACAGATATAGGTTGGTTGCTCACTTTATTTTCTTCTATCAATGCATATAGTCAAGAATATTCTGTATTTTTAAATAGATGACCAAAATTGGCATTCCTTCATTGGAGTTTCTGGCACGCTTCTCGTTTTAGCCCTGAATATTTTGTCAAAATTAAATGTTTCGTTGCCCTGGATTATTTCATTTATTAAATTTATATTCTTATTTTTATTTATATCAGCTTCCAATCAGAGGACTATACAACCTCCTAGGGTAAGTTAAATTTTATTAAATGAATTTAGAATGATCACTGGATGAGTTAGCATGATAATTGGAATATTGAACTGTTCTGCTTAATGTTTAGTTTCGTCATATTGAATAATGTTGAAGTCATCTCATGACTTTTGGATGAATGGGTCCAGTTCTATTTTAAAATTTAGGTTTGGTCATTTGAATCTCAATGAGATGGAATAACTGATCTCTTAAGACGGTACTGACTTCTTAGGCCTCCTGCAGAAGTGGAAAACTTCTGGGTGGGAATAATGGTGGTTAATTCTTCCATCAAAAGAAAGCTGATTCCAAGATAGCCGCCTCGCCTGGGCCCATTTCACGTGAATACACTGAATGACAATTTCAGTCCTAAAAATGAGGAAGATAAATCTATATTAAATTGACTGTACTAAAATTGGAATCTATAAAATAACTATTAATATTGCTGGGAAAAATCTTTCCTGAGTTATGATTCACCCCTGCCCTATTTTATAAATATTTTTCTCCCTGGAAACCACACTGTAGGTTTCACTATACATTGGATACCTTATAAGCTCTCTGAAAAACTTCCAAGAAAGGGAGCAAATTTTGGAGGGAATAAATGAGGAGAAAGACATCTTTGTAAATATATACTCATCATGGCGACAGGCTCAAGAGCTTCTTTATGGAAAGATATACCCAGCTTCCTATAAAGGATTGATAATAGATCGGTCTGGAATCCCAGAGAGAGCATCTGTCTATGACAGGAAGGGCACCTAAGTCTGACAGGACTGAAGGGCAGGTTGGGGCACAGTGTGTTTGAGTCACCCTAGCCTTTTAGTCTGAAAAGACTGGTGCCATAGCTACACTGGTTACAAATAGCTAGCGGTCTAAAGTGCCTCTTAGAGATAACCCAACCATTGGACCTTTACACCCTAGCAGTTCTCTTTCCCTTACTGAATTCAACCTGCATCTCTTGAAAATAATTTTATTTCACTCTCATGTCTTGTTCAGCTGTATTGTTTATTGTGTTGTTGTTTTGTGTTTGCATGTTTTCTTTTAATAGTTTTGTAGGTTATGTTTCTTGAACTGAGGGAAGTGGGTGGGCTTGGAAATTCTACATGGAAAAAGATATTAAGAGAATAATGCTATTAAACTATTAACTGCACTTGGTGAGCTTTGCTTCAGCATTTATTGCCTTATTTTGTTTTTAGACTACTGGATTCATTGCTTACATACTTTATAGACATATATATGCTTTAGTATAAAAGACATGCAATAATTTATACTTTATGTAAATATATTTTAAATATTTTCCAGAAAGCTGTAGAGGAACCCCTTAATGGTATGTGTGTTCTTCTTGATCCATTATCAGATCATAATTTGAACTGGCCTCAGGGAAGTTAGATTGTCTATATCTTGGGGAGAATCTAGTAGTGAGTTTCTTTTATCCTCTTGCCTTCGTCTTTTTTAATTCATGTAATTCATGAAGAAGTAGGAATTTTGCTTTTGTAATATTCTTATATTTGGGGGAAAAATGTAGTATTTTGTATCCCTGATTAATAGCTTTCCTTAGCCAGCTGATATTGGCCAGAATGAAGCGTAGCACCCAAGTAGAGAAAAATCTCAGTTATTTGCATCTAATTTGTAAAGTTCAGAAAGATGCATGCTATCACCCTAGTGAGACCAAGCTGTTTCACTTTCTTTCTATGTAAACCTAGATCTGTATTCCCAGCCGAATCTCTTTCCATTGTGGATGCTAAGGGAGCGATCCACAGAAATGCTTTGTAGTAAAATTACAGCCACAAATGGCTGCGTATTTGTAGAACAGTTGGCATGGTTTTGCTACATATTTGTTTATTTTTAAATTATTTCTGATTGTGAAACCTTACTAACTACTTCCTTGGCTTGTTACTAATCCTTAGCATTTAAAGAATCAAAAGGAATGATGAATGAGGGTAAGTATAAAATACACCTGTAATTATAGCTTAGTTGATAGATATATAGACATTGAAAAGAAAGAAAGCTTCTTGCAAGTTTGACCTTTTTTACATGAAAACACTGTCAAATCATAAAGGTCCACATCTCCTGGTGTACAAAACATAAACGTACTTTAAGAAAACTGTAGAACTCTACCTATAGATGTTGTAGCACTTTCTGTAAAGTGTTTGTCAGATTATCTTAAGATGCTTTTCATAAAGTACACTAAGGACCTGCCACAACCCTGCCATTTGACAGTTTCTTCTTTTGCTTGTGTTGGTGATTCTGTTTCATTTTACTTATGGGGACGTAATAGCCCCGCTTCTCTAAGCAAGAACTTCTCACGTTTCAGGAAAGGTTTAGAGGGAGAAATGTTTAGTCACTAGCTTTTGCTTCTCTTTTTGGATCTCTAGACTGCTAACTAATCTTTATTGCCTATTTCAAAGGCATGTGTTCGTTAATTCTTAAATGTCTGAGATACTGAGCGCTATGTTCACCTTTTATTTTATCTTAATATAGTATTAGTCTTTAGTTCCACTGGCATTTAATGATTTTTTTTAACATTGACTTTTTACTCTCAATGCTTACATAACTACATATTCAAGTTTTATCACAAGGCAAGATAACAAAAACCTTTCTCTTGGTATATGTTTGCAGTACGTGATGTTTCCACTGCTTGTGCAGAGCTGGCACCTGTCCATAATGCATCAATTCTTTTTTCACCCCCTCTCCCTCCTCTGCTCTACCCTCCATCTCCTGATCCTCTTCCCATTTGAGAAAGATCTAAATTCTTCATCCCTTTGGTATTTGCAGTCATCCCTTGCTGATGTCAACAGTTTGCTTTTTAATTTATCATTTTAAAGTCTGTGACCTACCTGCTCACTTCTATATTACAGTGCAACGTTTAACACGGGAGGCTTTGTTCCCCTGAGTACAATTAATTTTTGCATAAGGTTAAAAATATTCTGATCATATGTGAACTAAATTTAAAATGATGTTTAGGCTTGAGTTCAACAAAGAGCAATAGAATGATTCCACTTATGCGGGATTGTGTCACAGCCTTTAAATATACATTTCATTATGCACATCACTGCCTCCTTAAAACAGAAATGGTGTCTGGAATCATGGTATGTCGTGGTTTAGATTCCACTGTCCTGTTTTCACTCTCTGTGTTCTTTCATTTTTCTACCGTGGTGTCATTGTTCTGTGGTTGAGTATAGAAACTAAACTTTTCTCTGCTGTCAAAAAGCCAGTATATAAGAATCTTGAGTGTCTCTTCCTTTGTTAATTTCCCTTAAGATGTGATTTTTTTCCAAACCACTCCAGCAGATGTTGTAAAGCAGTTTTTACCTTAAAATTTTGTTCATGACACATGAAATCTGTGATGACTACTGAAAATCCTCTTAATTGTTCTAATACTTAGCTGATCAGTTTATTTTTGGAATGTCTGTCTGATGGGCTCCTAGCTAACGCTTGCTCAGTGCTTGCAATGTACCTGCCTTGTTAACGGATAAAGTAAGAGGTACGTGCCCCAGGCGTTTCCCTCTGACCTACGCCCATCGTAGGTGATTTCATCTCAACAAATGGTGTCGATCTGAAGTGAGTGATGGAATATTTCCCAGGATGAATATATTTTACTTTGAAAAATCAATGTCACTTGGCTTTCCTGCAGCTCACCCAACAAAAGAAGATCATCTCACTGCTGATTTTTATTTGCCTGGCTTTTGTCTCTGACCTGTAGATGACAGACAGATAGATAGATAGATAGATAGATAGATTATTTTTAGATACTGAATATCTGAAATAATTCCAGATTTTTCTAAATACATCTTAATGTAAAGAAAGTAGACCTGAAGAGTGATGATGATATGTCCATTTTTTACTTTTCCAGAATAATTGAAGCAAAGCGATGAACTCTGGTTTGGAGAGTCATAAGACGTGAAGGAATACACTTGTGTTTAAGCACCATGGCCTTTGATGATTCACTGATGGGAAGAAGAAGAAAAAAAGTAACTGGTTTTCATCTGTGGGAGAAAAGTCATTGACCCATAAATGATTATTCCAGTTTTTATTCAAAGCAGCTGTAATTTAGTTAATAAAAGAAGTATGGTCTGTGTTTGTATGCCTAATTGAGATAGTTTTCTGTTATTATTTTTATTCCTTTAGGGGCAAAAGTAGGGGGGGCAACTTCCAAGAATGATACCTTTCAGATCCTAGGACCTCATAACTCCAGGTTTAAATGGGTTCTGAGTGAGAATCACCTGGCACTAACCTGGTGGCTACTCAGAGATACCTGTGAAAAACGGTGGCTTCCATCAAACATGAGTAACTCAGGTTCTAGCAGCTTTGGCAGTTACACTGTTAGCTAAATAATGTATCTGCTACTTCAGGTCATTTGAACGGTGATTTAAGTAGAGGCAGGAATTTGGTCGGGAACACCTTGCGTGTACCTGTGTGTGCTGTGATACTGATGGAGACAGTGGTCTTCATTCTTGGGGGTTGCCATTCACTCATTCCCCCTTCAACGTACGGTGTGATAGATCCTTCCCGGATTTAGGGTACTTTTATGAATGGATGTGTTTTACTTTTGTTCACGCTACCCTTTGTACCTTGTCTTGTCCCCATGTCAACTTGCTTCTGCTGTACAAGATGTAGCACTTTTTCTCCTCTTTGAACATGGTCCAATGACATGGTAGATCGTTGCAGAAAGGAGCCAGACTTACTCAGCGCACCGTGTTCACACCTCTGAGCAAAAAATAGCTGTGGTTGTAACATATGTGTTCCCTTCCTCTGATTTGAAGGCAGAAATCTACAGTGTTTCTTCACTGCTTTTCTGATTGGAGGCATGAAAAAGCAAGACTGAAACCCGAACTATGAGTCTCCTGCATGGCCGCATAATGTGTGTCTCCATCAGGCCCCAAGGCCGGCCCTCCCTCAGGCGGGCAGTTTGACTCCTGTTGTGTCTCTGTTGCATGATGAACACTCATCCCTGTCCTCCTGTAGTCCCGCCTCCTCCTCTCCTGCCCTAAGATTGAAAAGTAAAACACTGCCACATTTCCGACCCCTCCACCCCACCCCCTTAGAAGAAAACTAACGTTCTGACAGTTGTGACCGCCTGGAGTACTTTTAGATAAATAGCGCTCGTTTTTTACCTCGTTTGTGAGTGTGTGTTTGTATGTGCTCATGTCTAAGGTAGGCACACGCCTCTTCTGTAAGCCCAAAAGTGCAGTACCTACAGGAGAGCCAATGCTGACTTCGTACTTTTAGTAAAAACATTTAAAACACAAAGGTCTTTATTGGGTGGAATTATATTTGATGCAAATATTTGATCACTTAAAACTTTAAAAACTTCTAGGTAATTTGCAAAGCTTTTCGACTGCTCACCAGTACTCTCTAAAATACTAGTAATTGTTCCTGTTTGTGTAATAAGACATTCATATTTGTAGTGGCATTACTAGTAGTTGTTTCTTAGTCCACTAAATGTTTCCATGTGCCTCTTTTATGCCAAATTTATTGTAATATTTCATGTTGGGACCAAGTGGTTTGCCCATAGCAAACGTAAATTTATGACCTGCTAAGGCCTCTTGGAAACTGAACAACCTATCAAAACAGATCTTTCTGAAGAAAAATATGCCTGTGTGTTTTTTTCTCTTCCTCAATTGCGTAACTGTCCAAAATACTAGCCTATGGCGAGGGAGCTGCATTCCTTTATACAAATCTGATGGCTCCTGCTGCTCTTTTTTCTTCTGAAAATATTTACACTTTGCTAATATTGTTACTTTAGAAATCAGTTTTGATGAAAGGAGGGGAAAAAGCAGAGGGACTTGAAAAAGATCCAAACTCCTATTCTCCGTTAAAGAAAGGTATGAAAATCTTTATAGTCCACTTTTTTATGCACTAAAGTTGTACCTTTTAATATATGGTGAACGCTCCGTTATTTGGGGTTTAACCCCTGGGTGTGACCATCTGTTGATTTCTCCTTAGTGCTGCCTGTCTATTACGGCATCCACTGCCCACTCAGTGCCACCAGAGGCAGCAGGGGAGATGGCAGAGGAAACCAACTCTTCTCTTACTGCTCGTCAATTTTTCGGGATGGGGGACCACAGCAGCTGGAGTCTTCTAGCCTGGGCATCATTGGGCCAGTTCATTCTCTTTAAATCAGACTCATAATGGCTCCAAGTTTCTGCCACATCAGATTAAATTGCTAGCAGTGTTTTGAGTATTATGTCTGTTTTGCCCCATAATACGCTTTTTATTCAGACCCCCGTTTTTGACCAGTTGTATTCATGATATGTTCTCAGAGTGACACCGTTTCTCATTCTCTGCAACCATCTTTCCAGAGTGCTTGGCCAAATTCATTAATTTTTTTTTCAACACTTCCGCTCCAGCCCTGCATCCCGCGCCGCATGTCCTTTGCAGTCTGCCGCGCCCGTCTAGCAGCCTCTTTCATCTCTTACTTCTCTTCTCTGGTACTTCGTGTATCTCTGCTTAGCCCTACTGGGGGTTTGTATTCTCACTCAATTAAAAGTTGCTGCCCTAGTGAGAGCTTTTCTTTTTTCCCTTCTGTCTTCCTGCGGTGTTGTGTGTACATCAGACACTCGGTACACAAGTTTGATGATTGAGATCTGGCTGTATTTATATTTCTCACTGTTTTAATAGGGTGAGCTAAAGAGTTTTCTTTTTTGACAAATTTCACATGCTCTGAAAACCATAAATGTAATGATTTTCCACCTGGAAATTCCATGTCCATACTGTTTCAATTCTTAAGAATGTCAATTTAAATAATGGGCCTAGGATACTGTCATCAGCTTAGTAAGTGACCAAGAAAATTATGATTTGAGTTGATAAAGCTCAAAAGTGATAAGTTTACTCCTCATCTTATTAATAAAATGTTTAAAATGTATATCATTTTCTAGGTTTCTCTTTTCTTACAGTGGGTATTCAGAAGTGTGGTTTCTGGTGTATGTGTGGGAATATGGACTCCTCTGTTTACCTGCTGCTGGAAACTTGGGAAATAATTGTCTGACAGCTCTTCATCGTTTCATTGTATTTTATCTGATGGAGGATTTATGTAGAAACTTTAGTTTACATGGGTATCACAAAATCACTAACTGCCACTGGGATTTCCTTTAAGTCATTTTTCAGTAGCTACTAGGGATAGTCCAAGTTAACTCTGAAGAGATGAGCAGTGACCAGGAATTGTTCCTGCTTTCAACTTTGATAGCTTGTCATGATGGTAATTTAAAACTAGCTTTTCCAGAAAGCTGTTCTTGGGAGAAGAAAAAAAAAGCATTTGCATTGAGCTTCTCTGTAAGACATCAGTGGAATCTTGAAAAGTGTTCTTAGCATGATAGGTAAGAGAAGAAAACATTTTTGTTCTTATTAAGCAGAGCATTATTTACCACAAAGCCACTGCTGAGAATGAGTTCCCACGTCACACATGCCCATTAACCATTCCAGATAAAGGGAACTCCAGTGTTGCTATGTGCGAGGTGCTCTCTTGGGGAGCTTTTTTGCATAGCAATTAAAGGTGTGCTATTTGTCAGTAGCCATTTTTTTTGCAGTGATTTAAAGACCAAAGTTGTTTTACAGCTGTGTTACCGTTAAAGGGTTTTTTTTTTTTTTGTATGTATTAAGTCAATTTATCACTGTTTGAAGCTTTGAATATCTGCAATCTTTGCGAAGGTACTTTTTTATTTAAAAAACATAACTTTGTAAATACTACCCTGTAATATTATATATACTTAATAAAACATTTTAAGCTATTTTGTCAGGCTGTTCTGTTGCTGTAACAGCAGACCACAAGCACATTTCTGAGATGTGTAGTTTATTAATGTATTTTCAGGTTGTGCATATTTTACGTAACAGTGTAAAGGATGACAAAATATTAGGTAAAATTCTTTTTAAGAACATAGTTGGGCTGGGGATTTAGCTCAGCGGCACAGCACCTGACCGGCAAGTGCAGGGTCGTGAATTTGATTCCCGCTGCTGGAAACCCTCCCCCAAAAAAGAACATAAGTGTCTAATACATAAATATTTAACTGGAGTAAAGTTTCGATTAGAAGTTTTAAACAAGCCCAGTGTGTTTCATGATTACCCTTTAATGAATTTTTCCCATGGTATTGTGAAAAAGTTCCACGAGAAAGCTGGAAACCTGGGTTCTAGCCTCGACGATCATGGGGAGGGTCAGGGTCCAGGCGAGCCCCTTGCTGCCCGCAGATACTGCCCTCGCCTGTGGAATGAGGTAGCCTCTGCCAAGGCCACTCGCTTTTTTTGTTTTGTTTTGTTTTTCTTCCCGTATCAGGAATCGAACTCATGACCTTCCGCTTGCCAGACAGGCGCTGTGCCGCTGAGCTAAATTCCCAGCCCCAGAAGCAATTTTTTTTTTTTTTTTTTTGAGACAGGGTCTCCCTTTGCAGTTCAGGCTGGCCTTGAGCTCACTTTGTAGCCCAGGCTGGTCTGGAACTCTCAGTGATCCTCCTGCCTCAGCTTCCCGAGTGCTGGGATTACAGGTTCCTTTTCATTAATTGTCAGAAAGGATTGTTTTGATTGCAAGTGAAAGAATAGCCAAATACAAGAAAAAGCTGGGATCTGTGATAATGTAACTAGAAATTCAGATGCCCACAGGCACAAATGCTTTCATCAGACCAGGTCCTAAGGACCCAGCGTCCCACTAGCATTCAGCTTTTCTCTGCTGGGTGTGGTCTTCTCCCTGGTTACATGTGACGCTGATGCACTTTCAGACTCTGCCTCGGGTTTTGGAAGTACAGAGAGGAAAAAGAATGCATGACTTCCTCGCAGTCCTGGCCACTGCAGCTTCCACCTCGGCCTTCCGACTGGGTCACGTGCTTTCCCTAGGGTATTTGGAGGCCAAGGATCTCCATTTCCGACTGGGCTGGAACCACTTGCCCACCCAGCCTGGACTGGAGGTTACAGGCTGTGTCTGCAGTACCTGAGCCGGGCTGTGGGTGAACGCGGAAGGCAAGTTCACCTCAGGCCAAACCTGGGGATAGTCACCAGGTGAGAAATGTCATTACATGTTGGACGCAGGATTTCTTGCGAGTGCTGCATCCCGTCTGACCTGAGCTCCGCGCTTCTGCGTTGTATGTGTGACTGTAGACCATTTGAATGGAAAATAATACTTGGCAGCAAAGTAGCATCTAATTTCCTTACCTCATAGGCAATTTAACTTTTACGCATTTAGGAGGACTGCTTCGCGCTCAGCAGGAATAACTAATGGAGTTTAGAAAGCAGTTAATGGCTGCCTCCTGCACTAAAGCAGCTCTGCGGCCTGGAGCGTCCTCGCTGTGATGAGCACTCCCACGGAGGAGTAGGCTTCCAAATGCAACGGGCTTTCACTTTTGTGTGGCACCTTTCCTTGAAGGTTCAACAACTTCAGAAGCAGGGGATTACGGTAACATCACCTAGGGAGGACAGGACTTCACCAGGAGCTCAGAGCTTGCGTAGCTGGCAGTGCTTGACCAAACACACACCCGGTCTTTGATTGTCATAAGCTTTTGTTGAAGTGCCCACCCAGTAAGTCTGAGAGAAATGCAGTGCTTAACCCTAACTTACGTAACCTCAAGTTACATAACTACAGACGACGTAGCGTGATCAGAGCTCAACTTGCTTGGCAGTTAGTCCTCGGCAGCAACTTCTCCATTCTGACTGTTGCCAGTTGTGGAAACCCAGCTATTTTTTCCCAACTGGGATGATGAAGTCTGCTCTCCAATTCAGAGGTAAATGTTTCGCAAGTCTGAAAACTAATCTGGTGTCAATCTTTGTGACAAATAACATGGGGATTTACAGGCTTGCAGTGTGATTACCGTTGCTGTCTTAACGGACAAACATTGCAACACCTAACACCGTACTAGCCTTTCTGGAGCCTTTATTTAAAATAATCTTCCTTGTTCATAGGCCTGTCCTCCAAAAAAAATAGTATAGTGTTGCTTCTAAATGTTTATTTCAGTTACCCAAGAAATTCCTTTGGGTTAAAGTGACAACCTCTAAGCGGTTGGAGTTTGTAATCAAATCGTTTGAAAAGTGTAAGTGTGCTGTTTAAAACATGCATGTATCTTCCATGGAACTCTCTACCTATTTTCTTTCATTCCTTTTATTAAGAATATTGCTTGGGAGATGCTATAACCAAGCTACACTGAGTGAAGCGAGTTCTTGTCTGTACTATCATCCTGCGTGTAACCGACTTCGTGGGGACATAGAACTGTCATGCTAGGCAAACTGGAACATACTGGAACCTTTATTTTCCCTGTGCCTGCAAGGTCCTCCCTCCAGAGGAGGGAGAGCTGCCGCACCGCCCGGGGTGAGAGTCCTGGGTGGCTGCCTCCAGCCCCGCCTCCCAAGCATCTCTTTCTAGGAATGCTTCTTTCTCTCAGGAGTTTCCACCCCCAGCTCCAGCAGACATTTTTTCTTTTCTTTTTTTTTTTTTTTTTTTTTTTTTTTTTTTTTTTTTTCTGAGACTGTGATGTTCGTAAGCCTCACTTATATATTTGGCTACCTGAAGAAACCTTTTCTTGCTGCAGTATTATCAAGTGTTCCCTCCCACAGTTGGACTGCTTAGGTATACAACTTAGACGGTTCCATTTGGTACTCAGGAATTCAATAGAGCCCAAGTCTCCTCGCATCTTTAGCTACATGCCTGGCTATCAATTGGAATTAGTCTAGTATCAGCTATTGCTAAATGGAACAGCAAAGGTTATACTGGATCCTGTGCAGGAATGTATTGGAAAGCACTAACAAATCCATTCTCATTTCTGTTCAGCAAAATATATCAGAAAATTATTTATGCCCTTATTATTTAATAAGCCCATCAATAGTGGAACATTTATTAATTGCCTGAAAGAATTGTACCTGAAATTATGATAGCATTTTTCAGTTAAGTGTTTTTAAAAGCATCACTGGTAGTAAAAGTAATATTCTTCTCTTATTTTTTTGTATCTCTGGGAAAGTGTTAAATAAATTCTCCAGGAAAAACATTCAGCCAAATAGTTTAGCGGTAATTGTTCACCAGATAGCAGCAGTCTTCGTCCTTCTGGGTAGAATGACTTTCCTTTAGAAAATTTGCTAGACCTAGCAGACCCACCCCCAAACTCTTTGCCCCTCGTCAGAAGCAACTGAGATTCTCCAAAAGAGTCATCATGTAGTGGAAATCTCAGAAGAGAATCTTCCTGAGTGGCCTGCCTCCAGGGAGGCCCGAGTTGGCTTTAACATGTGCTAATAAAGGCCAGTGTTGCCCCTCCATCCCCACCTCAGCCAGATGGGTGCTTATTTATGTGCCTCCATCTTGTTTCTCCAAGGATGACAAGGCCCAGCTGGGGTCAGGCAGCTTTACACCGAGGAAAGCTGCTTCCCATGATCACAGCCACATTGGAGCGCCGGGCAGACGGATAGGGATGTCCCAGGGGAGCAGAGCAGGGCTGGTAGATGGTTCTGGAGAAGTCCTGCCTCTAATGGCCTTGTTCAGAGAACTCCAGACGTGCAGGTCCAGCGACCGATTTACTCATACAAAGATCAGTTGTTTTTCATGTTTCCCTTTAGTAGCAGCCACCACAATAATTGTAATTTTGTATAGAAAATAAATTACATAAGAAAATGAAGATGCATTTCCTGAGTCCACACATTATGAGACCCTGTATGCCACCCAGCTGAACCTGACAGCGACACGGGTGCTGATGAAAACACTTCAAGACTACCTGTTCCAGTCCTGGGCATTTTTATGCTTCCCACTGGAGATTAAAAGTAAGGCCTCTTGAGGTGAGGAGGGAGCAGGCAGCGTGTGTTCCTCAAGATTCAGTAAGATAATGGCTTTTAATAAAAAGCTGCTGCTGAGTGTAGCTTACCTATAGTTTCAAAGGGCTTTTTAAAAATGAAATCTTTGCAAGCAATGGTAAAGAAACCTAGAACCCTCTGAGGTCATGCTTAGAGTCCTGTCAGGGATTTAAATCTAATTATTAGTCGGAAAGTAAAGAGGAGACAGAACCAACCAAGTGTCAGCCCGGAAGACAATAATAGCCATGGCGTTCAGCAGCCCAGTTATTAGTGCCTCAGAGGGCAGTTCAGCATATCTCCTCTTGTCCTTGAAGGAAGGCTACAGAGGCTTCACCCTTTCCTGATGATCATTTCCTTTTCTGTGGAGTAGAAGTGCTTCCTGTATGTCTAGATCTCATCTTTTCTCAACACCCACTGGGCAATCTTGGTGCCAGCTCTAAGTGCAGGCACAAGGTGTGATTAAAAAAGATACAGTATATGTTCAAATTTTAAAACAGTAAAAGACAGACCATTCACCCCCTTCAAAATGCACTCCCTCTCCTCAAACATTTATCCCATGCTCTTGCCACTTTCCGAAGCAGTTCTGGAAGTTCTCTTTGGGGAGCGTCTTTGTGTTGTGGCTGCCTTGATGTCCTGAATCAGTTCAAAGCCTTTAACTTGCACAGTCATTTTGGGAAGAGCCGAAGTCACCCCGTACCAGATCCAGTGAAGGAGGCAGATGAGGACACACTGCGAGGTTATTGCAAGCCTGCCTTGCCATTGGATGACAGTTGGCAGCGTTAGTTCGCATATTTTTGATCATGCCTTATAAAGACATTCATGAAAGAGGACTTCCAGAACTCCTTCAGAAAGTGGCAAGGACAATGGGATAAGTGCATTCAAAGCAAGGGAGGGGGACTAATGGCAAGGTATCTTTCACTGTAACCAGTTATTTTATTTAAATGTCCACCACACTCCTCACCTGCCCCTTGTAGAGGGCAGGCAGTTTATGGAGAGTGGCCTATTCCCTTCACCTTATTGCTGTGAAGCCTGGCATGACTCACCTAACTATCTCTTTTTGTAAAATGGAGATTAAATGTGAAAATTAAATGAGATAAAACAAGTAAAGTAGTTTAGCACAGTGCCTGGCTAAGTGTAAGCACTTCGTAAGTATAAGCTCTTTTGCTTTTTCCTCTTTGAATTATGCTTTGACCAAGGTAGACAAAAACTACTAGAACAGAGGGTAGACACAAGCATAACATATGCTGAAATTCATACTGTGCTATGCTAGGTTATGGCCAAAGATCAAAATAGGACATGAAATGACTGAGGGTATAAAATAAATGCAACTCCACTGTAGACTTGTTTGTTCCCATCCTGGTGTTCCTGTTAGGACACTCCTTGGTTTCCTTGGAGATTCCAGAGCACAGAAAATGACATTACTGTTGGATATCCTATTACTCTTTCCATGAATGCAAAGAATAGTAATAATAATAATGTGGACGGGAAGGGGCCTGTCCTTGTGGCACACGGAGGGTCATGGGAACCTTAGTCTTCCTGCCAACATTACTCAGCTCATCTGTTTATTCATTCATGCCAGTACCTGATTCTCAGGATTCTGAAAATCCTGTTGAGAGCAGGCCCTCCAATCACACTAGACAGAATGTGATTAAAAACTTAGAGCTGTCTTTAGGCTAATAACTGCAAGAAACTGAATCCAAGTATGTGGGAGTGCACATAGATATTGAAAATACCGAGCCTTCATAAATATTATTTCACAAGTGGGAGCATTTCAGCTGGGGTTTTTTGACAAGGCGTAGGTTAAACTGTAATCAGCCTGCTACCTTCCCGAGGATGATTGGAGCCCTTGCTGCTTCAGTCATCTTAGGTGGCTGCAGAACATAGAAAAAGGCAGCTGGTGACTTGCTGTGAATTGGACGTGGCCTCTATTTGCTTTTCTCCCCCTATTCATATGGCCAGGGAATGTGCCTGGTTCACACAGGAATAAACACCATGCACATTAACTGGCCTGAGTGGAGGGCAGAGATTTGCTGTAGAGAGCGCCTGCTAAAAGGCCCCAAATTCATTTTAAAGTATGATGTTCTATTAAGCCTTTAATACTATGATATTATGTACCTTCCATACAGAGGGAGGTCGAACTATCCTAAGATGTCAGGGTTTTAGCTCCTGTCTCCCAGCTTGGCCGGAGACATGTCTTGTTGCATTAAAAGGTGCTTCACTGTTTAGGTTTGTTTGGTGTTTAGAAATGCTGTAACCATACTAGAGTCCTTTCTTAGTATGTCATCTGCCTCTGAGGAAAGACAGTCATGCAAAGAGCCAGTTGCAGCACCCTAATCATATCCAAAAACTGGGCACTTGGGCCCTGCATGAGGAATAAACACTGCTCTTTTCATCTGCAAATAAAGATAGTTCATGGCCACCTCCTTCTCACTTCTTACTTGAAACCAATCCCTCACTTCACACAGAAATAAAAGTACATTGCGGCTACTGGCATTATCAATGAATTTTCATTGGCAAAGATGTTCTGAGCAGTGAAAAATATAAATAAATTTGTTCTACACTGGAATTAACTATGGAACCAGCAAGATAAACACAGACAATTAATGGCATCCACGCAGGATTAATAAAAATGTTGTCTTAGGGGAAGGAAAAGTCAACAACGTTAATGAAAAGCAGTATCTCAGTGGAGTTAGTAAATAAATAAATATATATCTATATGTTAATTAAAGCAAGACCCAATTATGTCGCACTTCTTCCTGAGCTACTTGAATCATGAAAGTCTAATGTTAAATGAGGAAAATCAGCACAGGACATCTTGTCATCTGCATTTAATCAAGACTTCTGTGTCTCAGAAGAGCTTTTAAGATGGGTAGTTGCAGGGCTGTTTTTGAGTCTCATGTAAACTTGCACTGGCTTGGAGTTTACAGCTCTATATATCTGTAGTTTTAGCATCCGTAGTTTAGGTGTAGGAGAATTGTGACTGTAAAGCCACTTCCCTTGCAGTTTTCATTCTGTGATTCTGATGAAAATAAGCCATATTAGACTGATATAAGTAAAGTCTGTATCGATATCTATAGCTAAAATGATTAGGATGCTGTCGTTTTCTGGTAAGAACAATATATAAATGCCCAGTGAAGCATTTTGTTGAGATTTTTACTGCTTTTTAGTTGAATATTAAAGTTCATATTTGGAGAAAAGACAGATTTAGGAGGTCGTTTCCATTTGCTGTGTCTAAATACCTTAACATGGTCAATTTTCTAAGTTTTTCTTTCCATGTATGTCTATAACTAAAAACCCATGGTGAAATTTAAATCAATGCTCCTTGCTGAATTTAATGACAGGAATTCAGGAGAGGTGATGGAGTAGGACAGGAAGGAGAAGGTTCTCTCTGGAGCTCCCCCAGGCTCTAGGGGGCCAGCAGGAACCAGACCAGGAGAGCAGGTGACTGTGGTTGGCTCTGGAGTTGGATGTTTCACCTTGATTCATTTTTTTCCTACTTTTTTTTTTTTTTTGCTTCATTTCCTCTCACTTGTCAGGAATATTGCCAGGACTGGTGAAAAGACAAGTGAGATAACATGTCAAATACTGCAAAATCCTAAGAAGAAAGATGTTATGATATATAAATCAATGTCATTTCTCATTTCACTGTTAATTATGCAGGCTTCTTTTTCTGCCTCTTCCTTCTACAAGGGTTTTTTTCGATTTTTCTCTTTTATAAAGATATCATTTACTGGCTTGTTCACCCTGGAAGTACGTTGTAAGCTTATTTGTTGAGGCCTTGTTCTGTGCTGGACAGTATACAAGAGCCTAAGAATACAGGCCGGCTCAGGTAGACACAGCCTTTCCAAAACACAGTGTAGAAATTTAGTAAGTTTTGTGCTTTATATGCATCTTGATTCCCCCCTTTGTTACTTAGGAAAAAGGAAAAAGTAGTAATGTTTATTTCCTTTTGGAAATGTTTTGAGGACAACATAAAATAAGGTATTGCTAAGGCAAATTTGCAATGGAAACTGAGACAAAAAAGACTCCTGAGAAAGTAAAACCAACCAGATCTTTAAAAACAAAACAAAACAAAAGAAAAAAAACCTTATCCTTTCTTAGACTGCAAAACTAAGCAAAATTAATTAGGGTAAATTTTAGTAAATGATTAAATATGTTAGATAGGTATAAAACAACCTCCGCCAATCATAAGCAGCCTACAACATGTAATTATATGACTAGAGAATATCTAACAAGATAAAATTTAAAAATTAAAAAGGGAATTTTGTGCAGTCAAATAATTTTTCTGCTTCCATATTTTCCCCATAACTACTTACTTCTCCTGCTGTGCTATTGTCAGAGCACTTCTCTCATTCCGCGTGCTCTTCCCCAATTCATGAACTGCTCTGTACTCAAACTCTAAAATTTTATGGCCTCTCAGCTTTTTCTTTTACAGTATATAAAAGTGCCTAGTGCAACATAAGTAGGATTTTAACAAATGTTACTCTTTTTACCCCACTGATGAGAAGGCAAAGAGAAAAAACACTTCCCCATTTATTTATTTATTTTCTTAGGAATTGGGTAAAAGTTGAAGCTTCTGACTTAACAAAAAAAAAGAGCTATTTCAGACTGAACACCCGTTCACAGGTCAGAAATCAAAAGACGACAATAATTCAAGCCCAGATTTCCTTGCCAGGGTCCATTGCACCAGGGAGCCGATCCTTCACCCGAGTTGAGAAGTCCCCATTGAAATCTCAGTCCTCTGCGAGCAGGAGAGAAGGAAAGGCTGGGAAGGTGAAGACATGAAGGTGAAGCACACACAGCCCTGGTGTTTGCTCTCCTGGCCACCAACAAGAGCTGCCATGTGCAAAATGGCGAGATGGCTGCCATGTCACCATTTTGCCCTCTCGGACCCCAGTCTGCCCTTAGGTCCTACTTGCCAGCCACGGGGCTGTGGTAGGCACTGTGAGCATGGCGACCCTAGACCCTGATGACAAAATAAGTTTTGGCTCCATCTTGGGTGAATTCTGTTCATATTGAAGGAAAACAGGAGACTCCAAAATCCTCACAAGCACACGCACCCCTTCGTTCCCCTTGGCCTCACGCAGGCCCTCAGCCTCAGCTCTGAAGTTCGGTCGTACACTCAGCTCGAATCTCGAACTGCAGAGGAAACCTGGAGGGGCCGATGCAGGGAGCTGCTGTGCAGCAGTCTCACCCGCTCGCTGTCACTGCTGAACTGTGCGCCCAGAGGAAGCCCTGCGGCTTTCTGCATCTCGGCCTGTGCATGGGTAAAACGAGGGGCCATCCCGGAAGTCTCATGGCTTAACTTACACTGCTGCTCTGTCACTTCTCCCAGGAAGTGGGTCAGGACCCAGGATTGCATCTCTTCCCACTCTAGCCAGCAAGATACCAGGACGCAGCCTGCAGAAGGAGCCAGCACCCTACCTGCTATCTCAGGGTGACAAAAAGACCCCGGAAAGGAAATTCTGATGCAAAAAAAAGAGACCAACCCTCTACCCAACCTGCACCAGCCCCTGGCATGCCCATGGGCACCAGGCCCAAGTCAAGCCAGTGACAAGGCCCTCTCATCACTGAGGACCCCAGAGCAGGAGGATGGTTACCCAGAATGCCCTTGGAAAAATCAGCAAGGACCCATCAGCAGTCACTGTACGGTGGGAGGAGAACGTGCCGCAGGCCAGGCTGGTGAGCTCTACTTGGCATGTATTCAAAGCAATGAAGCAGGCAAAAAATACAGGAAAAACAGGAGATTCAACAAATTCTTTTTAAATCTAGGTTTCTAGTTTCTTTCAAATAAAAAGAGTAGATGATCTGGCTGCACCAGGGACTCAGCGCCTGGCTGGAGCAGAACAGCACAGTCCCTTTGGATGAAGGGCATACTCCCCAGCGCCTTGCACAGTTGTCACTTGATGTTAGTGTTTTGCTTGTAGTACAGAAACCTTCCTCTGCGCTCCCAAATCTACAAAAAGTGAGAAAAGAAAACATACACCCAGAGGACTGTGTGTTTTACCAGCAAGTGAGGAAAGCGTCTTTTTAGAAGGGAGGATTGCTAATGTTTACTGTACAAACCCTTAGCATGCTCTACTCATTTACACCACCTACCTGGCTCTTAAGAGAATTTGTGTTGCTGTTGTTTCCTGTCCCTGGAAAACTTGGAGAACGGAAACAGCAGATAGCCTGCAACTATTCATGCAAACCTGTCCTCCTCTGTCGGTCACGGTGGGATTACCTTGGGCCCCTACCTTGGCGGGAGGTCTGTGATTCTTAGCTGTTGCTTGCCTTACCAGCTACAGCAGATTGAACAAATTGTATCCACCAGGCTTTAGAGGGGTAGGAGAAACTAACCTGTAGCTTGTTTACTTGAAATACGAATAATAACATAAATTTCTATCATGGTCTTCATCTTTCAGAGAGATGAAAAATTCAGGCTCAGACAAGTAAGCAGCTTGCCCAAAAGGTAGAATTGGGGTATCATCTGCTCTAGGAAGGGGACTGGGAAGGTCTATTTTCCTTGCTCCTTTCCGTGGGGAGAGCAAGGTAACCTTCCCACAACCGCGTTCTGTGGTCTCCCAGTGTACCTGTAATATGCAACAGACTGGCCCTGCAGCTTAAGAGCTTCTCCCAGCCTCTCCTGTGCCACCTCCTCTAGCAGATGGGACAGGCTAGCAAGGAGCCAGCTGGCACCTGCTGCCTGATGGGTGGGCCACACCGGTGCAGGCTGACGGTGAAAGCTGGGCCCTGGAGCCCTCCGGGGAGTGCTAGCTACTCATGGACAAATACAGCGAGAGGCTCGCCCAGTTTTCTGCCTGTTTCCCAGGGTGCAGGGCAAGAGAAGCGGGAAGGTATTCATCCCACCTCTAAAGGGACCCTTAGACCTCTCTGCCAGCATCGTAACATGGTACAGAGAGGGAATACTGTAGTCATTTCCTGTGGATTCATTTACATATAGTCAACCTCAGTCTGAAAATATTAGATGGAAAATTCCACAAATTCAAATTCATAAGCTTTAAATTATTCACCAGTCTGAGTAGCAGGATGAAATCTTGCACCATCCCACCTGGGATGCGAATCATCCCTTTGCCAAGCATGTCTACACTGTATACGTTACCTGCCCGTTAGTTGCTTTGTAGTCATCTCAGCTAGCAGATAGACTGTTGTGGTACTGCAGTGCTTGTGTCCAAGTAACCCTTATGTAACAGCCTAATACTACGCCCAAGTGCCTGTCTCGTTCACCTCGCCTCATCCCATCATGCAAGCATTGCTTTGTATCACAGGAAGAAAGATGAATCCAATTTAAGATGTTCTAAGAAAGATGAGAGAAAAAGAGATCACACTTACATAACTTGTCCTATAGTGTATGGTTGTACTTCTATGTTATTAGTTATTATTAGTCTCTTATTATTCATAACAAACTTTCTTATAGGAATGTATGTATAGAAAATAACATAGCATATACCGGGTTTGGTACTACTTGTGGTTTCAGGCATCACTGGGGATGTTGGAATGCATCCCCTGTGAATGAAGAGGGACTACTGTCTAAATATCCTGGAAAAAGGAACATATGCAACACTGGCATTGGTGGAACTAAAGTACAGCCCAGTATGAGGACTCTGGGAGATTTCTCACCAGTCAGTCACTCATTCAGTCTTTTTGATAAATACCTACTATGTGCTGATACCTAGACAGTTTCCCCAGCAACCCTGCTTAAACCACATGATCCACAGTGATATATGTTTGCTGAGTATGAGTCATATCTGGAGAAAATGTTGAGAAAGTTTCCAGGCTTCTGAGTCTGAGCTTCAAATTCAGGTGGAAGCATCCAATTCACCTGTCATAGATGCATGTATGTGTCCTATCTGCCCCCCCAAAAAATTTAACCCCCAGAATAATGGTGTTAGAGGTGAAGTATGGGGGAAGTGGTCAGATTAGGCAATAAGGATAGGCCCTCGTGATGGGATCAATGCCTTAATAAAAAGAAGAAGACAGCATTTCTCTCTCCACCATGTGAACAGATAGCAAGAAGACAGCCACTTAAAAGCCTGGAAGAAAGTTCCAGAAGATTTGAGATCTATCATCTCTTTCATCTTGGGCTTTCCAGACTCCAGCACTGTGAGAAATAAGCATTTGTGCTTTAAGCACTCAGTCTATGGGACATTGGTCACAGCCCAAGATATCACCCATCTGAATTCCTGGGCAATGAATTCTCCAAATGATTACTTTGTAGAAGGATTTGATTTACTGCCTATACCAGTCAGAAAATCAGATTCAAAACTTGTACCCAGAATGTATGAGGATGGAGCCCCACTTTGGGTTTCAGGAAAGTTTAAGAATAAAAATTTAAGCTTCTACATCTTTGCACTCTACTAAGCACTTAAGTATGTTGTTATTCATTTAAATCCCAGAATACTCAACAGCAGGTTTCTTCAGACATATTTTATCGAAGGCATGTGAGACTCAGTGAGCAAAGCATATTCAAGGTCAGCCTGTTGGGAAGATACAGGCAGGTTTCAGCTCAGTTCCTCTGGCTTCCGCTGGTCTCCACATATCTGCCTTGGAAGGCTGTTCTGGAGGAAGACGTTTGGTTACAGATTTGAATTCCCTTTGACTTCTGGAAATACTTTAAACCAGCTCTAAACATGGTTTCTACGACTGTGTTCCCTTTTTTGTACGTGGACCAAAGGACAATGAATTTAAAACAAAGACTGGCAAGGTGTGGGAAGAAGGAAGGAGGGAGAACAGATCTAACATAAAAGTATATAGGAAGCAGCTCAGATTTTTTTAAAGAAAGAAAATAAAAGGCAGTGGAGGAAGCTATGTCTCAATACCTATACAATCGGAAGACCTCAGTCATTATTTACATCCAAACCTTACAAAATAGCATTTCAAGTCAGTATTTTAGATAATGTTGCTAGTTTTTGTTATGAGAAATTACAGCTACAAACTTCACATTTTGAATTGTACATTAGCAAAAGCATTTAAGCTTTTAACTTTTAAATTCATGTTCAACCGAGTGTAAACTGGTGAGTGTTTTTTGTTTTTTTGTGGTTTGTTTGTTTGTTTGTTGCCCAATACAAAAAGAACACGGATTCCAAAGGCCAGGAATCCTGATGACACATAAACACAGAGCTTAAGACAGGATGGTGTGCAGTGAGGGATGTGACTAGCTAGGAAGCATTCCCCCATAAATAAAGAGCGGTGATCTTCAGTGGCAACATGTTTTATTAGAAAGGACACTGGATAAGAACCTGGACTTAACTCCTGGCTCTCCTGTATTATAGGGACATGGCCCTGAGCAGCAGAGGTTACCTCTCTGAGCTTTCACTTTTTTCATCTGTAAAATAAGGAGAATAATATCTGTATTTCTCAACGCTATTAAGTTTGTGTAGATAAAGGGAAGTTTGGTTATCTATTTCCTTGAGTAAGATTTGGTACTTTGTATTTTTCTAAAAATTTGTCCATTTAATTTAAATTGTTGACTGTATTAGCCTAAAATTGTTCATTGGATTCTGTTAATATTCTTTTAATATGTATAGGATCTATATTGATGCTATCTCTCTCATTTCTGATGCCAGACTGGACTATTGAGTTTTGTGCACTGGATTAATTATTGTTACTCTCCTACTAGCATGACGTGAAACTCGGTTTTATTTTAATTCTATTTTTCTTTTTCTTTTCTTTAAAATAAAAATAAATAAATAAATGAATTTCTGACATCAGATAGGTGTTAAATGAATGTTTCCTTAATTGGAGTATATGGGTGCAAAGAGTCAAGTCTACAGTTCATAAATTGCTCCAGAATACTGGTTAATTAGTTCATTACTGCTCTATATCCTTTGGCCCATCCCCTCTCCTCCTTCTCCTCAGCCAAATTTTCATCCACCCAGTTGATAGCTGGGCAAAGGAATACAGAGAAGTAATAATAGAGATATGATTTAAGTTTACTAATGGGAGAGCAATTAAGATAGTTTTCAAGATGGTGAGATTTTTTTTAAAAGATGCAGTAGGTGTGGAGTATGGTTTCATGGAAGTACAGAAAGCCCCAGAATTTTCTGGAAGCTTGAGACACAAATGCTTAAGCTCAAGGAAAAAAAAATCTCAAATTATTATTCAAGGAAAAAATGACTTGGACTTGCTCCTCTATCTTTCTGTCACTAGAAAGCAAATATAGTTTGCCAGGAAATTTATCTGATCCAAAACAAACTGACTTCTGGCCGAAGGGCTCTGTCTAGCTAGACAACTGAGCAGTGTGTATTCCCAAAGCACACACCTGGAGTTGCTTCTTGCATCTACATCTTCTGGATGACCACGTCAGTTCTGCCGTTAATAAGACCAGTTGACCTACTTCAACTTGATGACTGGGGAATAAGGGGTAAAACCACAGTCACGCTGAACAGAATCAAACATGAACACCCAAATTTTACTATAGACACAGAGGAAAATAAAAATTATCATTCTTCCTGGACTCTAAGATGTGGATAGTGTAAAACTGTATTGTGTCTAAACATCAGGGTGGTAATTTTTTCTCTTCTCCTCTCTCACTCCAAGTGAGCAGTGACCTTCAAAGTCTGTAGACTTCAAAAGCTGCAATTAAAATAATAGTATCTCTTAAAAATCAATGCCATCTTGGAAAGAGGAACTAAAATGTGATGGGTCTGATCAGAACACTAACTTGCCTCTCTGTATGCTCAATGCATTGTGTACAGTATTATTTCAATATATGTTTGCAAAGACAACAAGTACTTCAACAAAATCCACACTGGATTTTTTTTATTAGGTAAAATTTCAAGCATGTCCTAAAATATAGAGTGTATACTTTACCCAGATTTAGCATTTGCAGCTCATGGCTTGTCTTGTTCCCTCTCTGCCCCAGATAAATTTTGAAACAAATCTCTTATGTCAGAACATTTCATCACCAAATGTTTCGGTGTGTATCTGAAAAAGACAAGGCCTACTCTTTCTGAAAAAATAAAGACAACATCATCACACCTTCCTAAAACTCATAACAGCTCCCATAAAGCAACATGAGTAAATTCCTTAATTGTTTCAAGTATTCATTTAGTATTTATATTTTCCTGGTTATCCTATAAATGGTCTCTATCACTGTCTTTTCTATTTTTAGGTGTCTTTGGTGACAAGGAAGAGCAATTCCCCTGAGTTGGCCCAGTCAACAGGAACCTCCACTACACTGTGTTCTGCAGTGACCTGAAGGTTGTGTGCCCAGGCCACCTCTCATGAACAAAGTAGCATGACATGTAGTTGTGTTTCAGTGAGTCAAAAAATGGTGGGGGACTGCAAGAATTTCTATAACAAAAGCATTGCTTATAGTTTTAAGTGCATAGCTCACACACTGAAACATACACATAAAAATGCAACATAGAATTGCATCCAGCTCAGGAATTGTGTCTTCAGCCACCGGCAGCACAATACTTCTTATATAATTCTGTTACTTTTAGAACAACAAAGGAATTGTGGGTCTTAAGCAATAAGCTTTTACCTTTGCTCAAAGGCTTTCAGGCAAGGAACCATGTATATGAGTAGACCCCCCCAGGAGAACTCAAGTGGGCCCAAGGTAGCTTTAGAGACCAGAGTAGCTACTATTAGCTTGATTCCATTGGTCCCTTTCATTGGATTCTAGCCAATTTTCCCCTAGTACCAACTAACTTCATTATGCTTTACTCTACATAGTCCTACAGGTGAGACAGACATTTGAATGACATGATACATTACACCAAGAGCTTTCTAACATTTTTGGCCACCATTGAATGTTTTCCTCAGGAACACATTAACATATGAGTGTGCAAGTGAGTATGTATGATGTGATATAGAGATATAGATATACACACATATTTTCTTTGAAACGAAAGTTTCACACACCATCATCCTTGCTATGTATGATATAGTCTGGTACTTTCTTTTCTATTCTATTACTTTGTAAAAAAGTATAAATGCTGGTTGTGACCCACTAAATTTATTTCAGAGAGCATAGGTGGGTCATAACTTTCATCTTGAAAGCTATATCCTACAGTGAAGGCAGAAACTGAAGACATCAAAGTGAAGTTCTTTGGAACCAGACTGATTCCAGCTTCTGGAATTAAGACTCATAAGAAATTGGATCATCATTACACTGTGCACTGGGACAGAATCAGAGCATGGCTGTATTTGTCACCTGACAGAACATTATATGACCAAGGTGAACAGACAGCCCTTTGCATGTAATTTGTATACAGGTTAAATCTGGAAAGTACATCAATACCGTCTGAAGATCTTGGAAAGCTGGTCAGGAGCCCTGCCTCTCCTACTGTAACCTACATGATCTGCACTTTGAAACAATATTCTCCCATCACACCAAACCAATTCTACTTTTCTAGCTCAATAGGTCATACCGTGCTCTCTGGAACCACAAAGGGGAGAAAATACTCTCTCCAAAACTGCTGCATGATGAATTTTTCTACCTCTATGTAAAGCTCTGCTCACAGGGCTTGTCTTCTGGTTTTCTGAGGGTCCTGTGACAGGAGAATTGGGCTGTAGACTAATGATGCTGTTGCTATAGTAGACTACAGTGCCTTACATTTTTCACTTCTTTCCACATAAAGAGATTCCAGCTCTAGGGAAGAAAAACAAAAAAGATAAGAGGAAAGAAAAATCCACACAATATCAGTAAGTTTCCCCTTGGGATCAAGTCACTTTCTCAGATGGTGTTTTCACAACATAAATTGTTTATGCATTCTGCTAGCTTTTAAAATGTTTGGAAAGAAATCAAAATTTCCCTCCTGGTTTATTCAGTGCCAAAAACTTAACTTCCTCTCAACATACACACACACAGACACACACACAAAGGCACACACATGTGCGCTCACACATATGCACATGGATATTAACATATGTGGAAATGAATTATATCACAGTGTTAATTTCCCACTTAACAGAAGCAGGGAGCTCTTTTTCCAGAATTTGATCAGCTTAAATGTGCTACTGTATGAATTTAATAATATTTTTGGTAACTAAAGAGAAAGAAATAGCCCATGAGTCATGAAAAATCCAAGAAGATTATTCTGATGTTTGTTTATCTTGAACTAAATTTGCAGGGAAATAAAATCACTCTGGAAGCTCAGACTGCACACTCACACTCTTTTGTATGAGTTAATTATACTTAACTGCTCTGTAATGTCCTGATTAATTATTTCCTGTTCCAGTCAGTTGATTGTGCATTTTGATATGAAACCTGCATCCTGATGAGAATCTTGGACCTATTTCTCATCTTGCTTAACGCCCCTGTAGAGCTGATCTGAACAACTAGATTCAAATAAGCCTGAATCTTCATCAGCACCCCAGGAGAGTTATGTCAGACTCAGGCAGTGACCGTGGAGCTGTATTTTCAGCCTGGGGCATGGAATCACCACTTCTGCACAGGCAGCAGTGAGCTGCAGTGGGGTGTACTGCACTGCTTGTGAAAAACACACTCTCTACCCTGCATGGCACTGGCGACTTGTCTTCCACCAAAAGGTCTCTGTGTGTCCAGAGTGATCAGGACACTCAAAGGCAGGACACTGCCAGGCGAGTCCTGGAGTTGGGAGAAGCTGTGGATATCAGTCTCCTACTGTAGCAACCCCCAAACTTGCTGGTGTAGAACAGTACAAGTCTGTTAGCTTACAGTTCCCCGTGGCGGAAGTCCCATGTTTCTCCTCCAATCCTGTTTCATCTTTTCCAGCTGCTAGAGGCCTTCACCTTCCTAGGTGCTTGACTCCTTTTCCAACTTCAGGGTCAGAACAGGATCTTTAACTCTCCGGCCTCTTCTATTCTCACATTTCTCTTATTTTTCTGCCTCCTTTTTCCCCTCACACGGACCCTTGTGATTTCACTATGTCCATGTAATCCACAATCTTCTCCCCAACCCCAGATTTTTAACTTCATCATATCTGCAAGTCCCCTCTACTACGTAAAGTCCATGTCACAGATGCTAGGGCTTAGGGTGTGGATGTCTTTGGAGAGCACTGTAATTTGAAGGTCTGCTCCAAGCTCATGTTGAAATTGAATTGTCAGTGTAATGGTATTGAGAGTTAGGGCCTGTGAGGGATGATGAGCCTGACTCGTGGGTGGGTTTAAGTCTTTAAGTAAAGTGGTTTGTGGACTGGGTTCTCCTTCACACTTTGCTGTCTCACCATGTTCTGCTCCCCTCAAGACGTGGCCTCTCAACCCTGGACTTCCCAGTCGAGTAACATTGCTTGTAATTTACCCAGTCTGTGATAGCTATTATTGTAGTACAAAATGGGCTAACCCAGGGGCTGTTACCCTGCCTGCCACAGTCTGTGGCATTATAATCTTGACTTAAAGATGCCCCAAAGCTGCCCTGCTTCTTCCCTGGCTGCAGGCAAACTTCCATTCGGTTTGCCCTAAAACCACAGAGCTATCTTTACTTGGCACTCAGACGCAATTCAAGTGTCTTAGTACATTTTGTGAGGCTATAACGGATAGCTTGAGACCAGGTTACTTATAAAGAGTACAGATGTATTTCTTATAATTCTGGAAACTAGAAATCCAAGGTCAAGAGGCCCATATCTATTGAGAGCCTTCTTGAGTTATCTGGTGGCAGAATGATAAGAACATACATGTGGGAGAGAAGAAGGGGCTTGAACTCATGCTTTGGTAAGAAACGCACTCCGGAGAGAGCCCCTCCTAATGGAACAGCATTAATCCATAAGCTCTTCTCCTATGGCCAAAGTGCCTCCTCCCATTATGTCCCACTTCCCAGCACTGCCGCCCTGGGCACTGTTTCCACATGTGGACTTCGGGGACACATGAAGACTATGACACCAAGACACCACATTAGTGTGCAAGTGTGGGTGGGCCTGAGGACAGCAGGAAAGTGCCGCTAAGAACCTGAACTGAATGATAGGGGTTGCTCCTGGGGTTAAATTACAAAACGCAACACGGACAGTTGATTTTATGAAGTTATGCAGTAAACAGGTTAATCTGAGGCTACGGTTAGCATACCTACATTTTTAAAGGAGAGTATACGAATTGAGAGGGTTAATGAGGGTGGGAGCACACAGGCAAGAGTGGTCACTATGGGTCACCGTCCCACATTACCCTTCTCCCTGACAGGCCCACTGAGCCTGTCCTCACAAAAGATGAATGCAGGAGACACAAAAGCTGAGGTCCGTAAACCTTCAGGCCATGTAACTTTCTGCACTTTCCTCTGATTCCAGGCTCACCATGAAACCCTAGGATAATTAAGCTTCTCAGGGAGCCCCTACACACACGGAGGAGAGGCTGTCAATCTCAGGTGTGCTTGACAGATAGACTCTGTTTCTCATAGAAAATTAACAAACCGACGTGCTGGCTTGCATATATTCATGTCTTGGGAGTTTAGTTAGCATGAGTCAGCACCTCCAGGCTGTCAATCTCGGATCTGTGTGACAGATATTCTAATTTCTCGTGAAAATTGACAAACATCCATGAAGGTTTATATTTATTAATGCGTGATGAGCTAGGTTAATATGAGTTCCTACCAACTCTCGTCTGCTCAGAAGTCCCTGCAAGGCCTGAGCAGCAGTGAATATCATCACACCTTCAGGCTCCATTGATTTATGCCCTTAAGAATCCTGCACTCCCCTTTCTCACACGTGACCCTTGTTGGCCACCTATCTGTCCTGCCAGGAAGGGGATCGGGTTTGTTTTATTCATTCTTAGATGTCCTGCACCAAAGGCTTGGCACAAAGTGGGTGCCTGATAAATGTCTGCTGAACCAATAAACAAATGGATGCTGTCCTGACCTCTCCTTGTGTCTCTTTTTCAGCCACTAGAGAGTGGAAAATGGATGCTTACACAACAAGAGATTGGGGAGTAGATATTATAAATTAAGGGAAAGGTCACATTCAAGATAAGATGGAGGATGCTTTGTGGAGTTAACAGGAGTCTGTCTTCCCAGGAGCGGTAGAGAGACAGCCTATTAGGCCAGACTGTGACAGGACAAAGCAGCAGCAGTGACAGGGCAGCAAGGAGGCATCTCTAACAAACAGCTGGACACTTCTATTTGAATTTCCTGACATTACTGCAACTCAGCCTGTCCCAAAACAAGCTCATCATCTCTTAACTCTCAACTTCCAAGTGTCCCTATTTCTGGGTGTTTCCTAGTTTTCACTTTGGAGTGATTTAAGTTTTCCCTAATGTTTACACCAGTTAACAAATCAACAATTCTTATAGGTCTCTAACATCACCACTGCCTTAATTTCAAGTCCCATGCTGCCCTATACCTGGATGGCTGCAGCAGCATTTGTATTGGAGCTCGTATTTTCTTTAAAAAACAAATACCACTTTTATAACCTGAACTCCTGCTGCTTCCACAACCTCTTTTGAAGATCCTTCAATGGCTCTCCGCCTCCACACAGGTCACAGCCTTGCCTCCAAGGCCATGCTATCCATCTTTATCTCCTACTATTTTGTACTCTAGTCCCTGCTCTTTGATTTTCAAGCTGGTTTCCCCTCCTTCTATGTCAGACAAATCTCTCTCCTTCCAGATGTCCATCGGCACCTGCCCCTATACCATTGTTCTGCTGGATGGACTATCCACCCTTCTCCTTCCCCTCCTTGAAGCTTCTTAGCTTTACCACCCAGTTAAAACCCAAGCCTGTCATGAAAATTTCTACATTAATGAATCTTACAGAGAAGTAGCTGGTGTTGAAAACTCTCAGTCCTTAGGGGCAGGTCTCCTTTACTGCTCAGGAAAGTGAGCCTAACAGAGCTCATCTTGCTCCTTTTCTGAAGCTGCCCTTTTTTTTATCATTCATCATGACAAGTAATCATCTCTTCCCTTTCAGGAAGGAGGGACAAGAAATTTATTAGGCTTCTACATGGCTACCTCAACATCTTACTCGGTGAGATGTTTAAAAGGATTTCAGAAATTTAGCATTGAAAGACACTCAGAAGTAAGTCATTTGAGTATAGGGAGATGAAAATATGAGAATGACTTTGGCTTTGGATATTTTTGATCATTGCCAGCTGACAAGGTGACTAATTCTCAGTGACTTCCCCCAATATTCAGCCACCATGCCACTTGGTCTAACATGGCTCTCCTGGGCAGCTGATCCTGCAGGTGCTTCTATAGTTGGAGACTGCAGTGGGCTGGATAGTGGACCCCAAACATTGTATCTACTTCCTGATTTCCAAAATCTATACCTATGATACTTTTTGGAAGAAGGATCTTTGCAGATGTAATTACATTGAGGATCTTGAGATGATATCACCCTGGATTACGTAGGCTTGATGGATCATCCTGGATCCTGAATCATTCTAGATTCAATGACAAGTTTCCATACAATGGAAAGAAGAAGAAAAGACACAGAAGATGAAACACAGATTAGGGTTGTAGTCACAGACCAAGAAATACCTGAGGACATCTAGAAGCTGGAAGAGGCAAGGTAGGAGTCTCCTTGAGAGTCTTTAGAGAGAAAATAGCCCTGCTGAAACCCTGAT